CTTTTAAAAAAAAAACAAGATTACTAAGAGAAAGCATTTCTGATATACCAATTCAGAAGCTCCTTAACTCTGCTCCTCTGYTTTAGAAAGCAGTTTGTCATCTGAGCTAAAGCATCGCAGTCCCCTGCAATATTAGGCATGTTTTCATGACGTGCCATTYGATCTCCAGTGTTCTTGACTTTCAAGACCAGCAGCTGCCATCTTCCTGAGTGCTTCCATAGACTCAATGCTTTCTAAAAGACTTCTGATAATGCCTAAATTTATAGCTAGATTTCATAAACAGTCTTCTACATACTTCATCTTTGAATAACTACCAGATTATACTTGATGAGAAGTCAACAGAAGACAATTAGTACATGCAGCATTCATTTTTTTCACAGAGAGGATTTTTATGTAATGTCTAGTTAAAAATGGAGTAAATTTTAAGATTTGCTACTATTTTATCTACAGCTTTTGCTAAAACCTATCCACTTACGAGTATCTTGTGAAGTACTCTGCATTCCTCAACATGCATCAACTGTGGTCATGTTTTACAAGCTAGTTCAAGTATAAGATTTATACTTACTGTTGAAACATTACAAGAATACTGATGTGTGTTGTGTCTGAAGCAAGTTCCCAACTTTGCGCAGGGGGAAGTTTTTAACAATCATCCCTTTCCAAACTCAAATCACTCCAAAAACAGTCACGACCCTTTCCTTGGAGCCTCAGCAAAAAACATGTACAGCTGAGATGAAGTTTGTCATCTTCAAAACTGATTTATCTCAAGTCACGGGATCAGAAGAGAGGTTAAAGTTTTTAATTACCAACTTCAGATTATATTCACAGATTCACAGATTCACAGAATATTTAAGGTTGGAAGGGACCTTTACAGATCATCTAGTCCAACCTTCCTGCTCAAGCAGGCACACCTAGAGCATGTGGCACAGGGTGGCATCCAGGCGGGTTTTGAAGACCTCCAGAGTAGGAGACTCCACAGCCTCCCTGGGCAGCCTGTGCCAGGGCTCTGTCACCCTCACAGTAAAGAAGTTCCTCCTCACCTGGAGACGGAACTTTTTATGCTTCAGCTTGTGGCCATTACCCCGTGTCCTATCGCTGGCCACCAGTGAGAACAGCCTGTCCCCTTCCTCCCTGCATTCTCCCTTCCTGAACTTATACATATTAATCATATCCCCTCTGAGCCGTCTCTTCTCCAGAGAAAACAGGCCCAGCTCACTCAGCCTCTCTTCATACGAGAGATGTTCCATTCCCTTAATCATCCTGGTTGCCCTTCTCTGGACCCTCTCCAGAAGCTCCACGTCCYTCCTATACTGGGGWGCCCAGAACTGCMCMCARTACTCCAGGTGCGGCCTCACCAGAGCTGAGYAGAGGGGCAGAATCACCTCCCTTGACCTGCTGGCAACACTCCTCCTGATGCAGGCCAGGATCCCAYTGGCCTTCTTGGCCATGAGGGCACACTGCTGACTCATGGTTAACTTAGTGTCAACCAGGACTCCCAGGTCCCTCTCCGTGGAGGTGCTTTCCAGCAGGTCAACCCATAATCTGTACTGATGCCTGGGGTTATTCCTCCCCAGGTGCAGGACCCTGCACTTGTCCTTATTGAACCTCATGAGGTTCCTCTCTGCCCAACTCTCCAGCCTATATTATTTCAAAGCAGTAAGGCTACACAAAGAAAAAGCATGAAAATTAAAGACCCCAATCTCTTACACTTTTTAGAGCTGCTGTAGTGTCAGCTCACATATTTTTGTTTCATGAAAGAGAAGCCAGAAGGATTCAGCTCAAATTAAAAGGAAACATTGCTGTGCACAGATTGATCCCCTTTGCTGTTTCTTCCCTCTCCCTGTTCTCCTCCTCACCGTATTATCATGTGCACCAGGCACCCCGTACCATTAATTTGCCAAGGCAAATCTTCAGCACAGAGTTCTGCAAAGCACCTTGAACACTCTGTGAGAGAGAATCCTTAGGCAGGTGTACTCTGATCCTAGCAGTCAAGCTTCAAAAGTCCTAGCATCTTACATGTTGAAGGCCAACTCAGGAGTTAAGGTACTCAACACAATGTGAGTTCTACGCAACATTATGATGCCAAATTAAAACCAGAAAGCTAAGAGTAGCGGCTGTGCTCTTGTTATGCCACACAGCTCCTCACTCAATTATGTAGTGGGAGGCAGTGGCCGGGAAGTGGGGGACAGAGACGTTTCCCTTTTTTTTATGTAGGGATTCTAAGGTAGTCCTGCTTGAGGGTTGATTAGACTGAGAGTTTCTGAGAGTGTATGCTGGCAGCCATTGGGCAAAACAAGAAAAGAGAAGAGAGGTTTTATTGTACATTAATCTATGTAGGATTAGGATGTTTTTCTAGTTCATTCTCCAGCTGACCCATGTGATCAGAGACATACAAAATCACAGAGCCTCATGTTACTGATGGGCTAAGCCCTGATCTCATACTTCATAGGTGTAATAACCTCTTTGGATTTGAAGAACAGATCCATTTTAATGGACAACATTCTGTAGAGTCAGCTAGTTTCCCATTCCTGCCCACTCTTTTAACACCAGCACAGAACCCTTGTTACTTTTTTTCCTTTTAAAAAGAGACATCTTACACCTTTTTACTCGATATTTTCCTGCATTGAGACAGCAGGAGACCTCAGTAATATTTTCCAAATACTTTACACATGAAAAAAAAGACACACTGCCATGAAATTTGTCTGTCAGTACATACCCTGACTGGTGTGGATCCGTAACTGAGACCACTTGTTAAATACATCTGCCAACTCTTCCACATAGGKTTTTTCTACAACTTTAAGAGGACAGATCTGTATTAAAAGTTTTAAAGTTCTGATTTATATGAAATAGATTATCTTAAACCGTAAAGTCTGAGATGACTTTAAATCCTTTTAGATTGTCAGTCCAATTCAGCTTCCCAGTTTATTGCCTTTTGCCTTTTTCTTTTCCTCCCCCTCCCTCTCTAATTATTTTCTCCTTTCTAGCATACCTGATTACAAGGTCTCATTTCTCTTTGCAGCTGAAGTCAGCTTAAGACCCCTGAAATTAGCTTTTAATTTTGGGGGGTATAACAACAGTAGCAGCATAATGTTCTACATTCAATTTTCCAGAGGTGTCTACACACTTCAGTCCCCAAACTGAAGCACTACTTTCCCTGTTGCACTGCTCTGCTTTAGGCAGCTTTAGTGCCTCCTCTTCATCTCTCTGCGTTGGAAACAGGAATAACAAAGCAGCTCCTCGTATCCTTCAGCGCGTTTTTCTGCTCCCCAATATTGAAGTTCCAACAAGTTTCTGAGCATGCAGAGCCTGATGTCCCCTCCCCACTCTCTTGTCCTTTGATATGCTCTCTCTTTCAGGTCTACTACTTGGCCTTTCTTTATAGAAGTATACAGATGTGTATATATATATGTATATATAGAGAAATTTTATATATATATATATTTTTWAAAAATGGTGTCCCAATACAAACAGCTGACTCAGAAAGAAGACATTGATAATGGAGCAGGGAGACTGCCAGCTGTGCTGCTCTCTCAGCTGCTTACCTAGCCTGCCACTTACAGACCAAGCTGAAAGAGCTRTGGTCTTAATCAGTTCCTGCTAATGCAGTATTTTTATATCAGGTTGGACCTACTGAGTGGCCACATGTCCCCATTTTCTCATGTTTCTCACCAAGAACTGCAGACCCCTGTTTCAGTGGAAGGTGTTTACTATGGAGCCAGTTGCAGCATAAGGAAATCCTCCCAAAAGTGCCATACCACTGCTCTATAGCATGGRTATCTTGACCCTCAAAGCACATTAAAGAAATAATCCTGAATACCATAAAGACTATTTCACAGAACATATTTAAAAAGAGCAAGATACAAGTTAAAAGACCATGATAATGACTATGAGTGTACTCCCAAGAAGCRTGAGGTTGCACTGTGCAACTGAACAGGATAGTCCTGAGGCTGCAAAGCCGGAACAGCAGGAATGTCTGGAAGGGCTGAAGTCTCTTGATGAAGTCTACTTCATTTATAAAGCAGATGTCTAAGTGGTATCCAAGGATTCTCTGGCAACTCCTGCAACCCAGTGGACTAGATCAGCAGACTGTGAAATACCAGAATCCCATACAAAGAACTCCTGAGTCTGAGCTAAAAACAGTCCAAGTTTCTGTTACCTTGGTTAAGGTAACTTCTGTAAAGTCGCTCAGAACTGACTGGAGAGCCACAGCCTGCGAGGTGACCAGCACAGCAGCATCCCTGTTCTACAGGTTGTCCAYTTTCCAGCAACCTCTGACACTGAGACATGGTTCTGCCTCTCCTATTTTAAGTCTATTCCTCTGTCCTAAAAACACCTCCAGTGGCAATCAGATGTTTAAACAACATCGAGGGCTAATATTGTTGTTGAAACAAACTGAAGTGCTTGTATCTTCCCAGCATAAGACAAAGAAAGCAGGTTTTTCCTGGTTATTTTTGTGCATACCTAAGGAAAATGGATATCACTGACAGATCATTTTCAATTCTTAAATCTTAAAAGCTGCACACACATGACTTCACATGTTTGCCTAAGCAACACACTTGCTTAGGTGAAAGTTCTGTCTTCAGTGTTGCTTGAAACAAAAGCAAAACACAGTGTTGCTGCAGCAAGACTCACTTCAAAACAGAGTTATTTTAGCTTGTTYTTTTTGCCTTTCAAATACGCTATTCCTATATTAAAAATGTAAATTGCAACCATATTCTTGATGGTGGGCTGCACATGCCTACTTTGCAACAGATTCCAACTCATAGACATAACTGGTTGTTTCTTCTGATACTTTTAGGTTGCTAATGAGAGATCACAGAAATATATTTTGCACAATCCACCACTGTTTAGTATGCCTCAAATCTGATGAGCAGTAAGTTCCTAAAAAACCCATTGCTTAGGCTAAAGCAAAGTGAGAGAAGCAAATGAGAAAGGCCCAAAGCGTTTGCTTTTGCCAGCACCGCCCCCTCCTGCCAAGGACACCAGAATTTGCTGCTACTCACGTCTAAAGAATCTTCATTGACCAGGATGAGAGACATGCTCTGTGAAATGAGCCTGCAAGAGTACCCTGTAAGAGAAAAAGAAAAAAAAATCCTTTTTAAAAAAGGCTATTACACTTGAGCTAAACCTCAAAGGGAGCATCTGTAGGTCAGACTAGGATATGCAYTTTGAGCAGTTACTTTCATCAGAGAGGCTGCTGGAAGTGTTGGTGTGGGGGGCACATTSCAGCTTGACACATCTAACAGCACAGGCTGCATTTTCATCTGCAGTTTCAAGTATGTGGCGTTAAAAAATGTTTTAGCTGAATAAAACCATTATTAACTAAAGAGCAAAAGTAAACACCTGTATATCCACAACTTTGTTTTTACCTATATGAAGGCAGAGCCTCTACACATCATAGGAACAGATCTGAGCCTGCAGCTGTAGCTACGACCCATGCCTGGGAGCACACACATGGCATCCTGCATCCTCTAGGCCCCATACATTTACTCCTATATGTATCTTTGCTAAGTATTTGTGCTGTAGGAACGTTTTCACTCCTAAGGGTGATGGTGAAAGTTCTGAGCTTCACCAAGAACTGGAGGCCACGCACTGYGCAGCCTCCAACTCCTACAGGCACCCGGCCGCTCCACTGCCTTGTCCCTAGAGTAGGGCTGGGGCATGAGAGAGGACAAAAGCAAGTTGCCATGGATGAGAGAAGTGGAACTGCTCTAGGATATCTAGGATATCTCCACCAGGACAGGAAAATTCAAAGCAAAAATGCCAACAGAGAAAAGAGTCCCTTTTTAAACTTATTTTAAGCAGTAAGAACCAAAGACTAAAGCACTGCTCCATATCCTCAGACTGGCAATTCCTCTAGCACAGGTTTGTCCCCAGCATGAGACAAAGTGACCTGCAAGAAGCCCATCTGGCATTTTCAGGGCGCACACTTTACTTCCCAGCTCACACTATTGACAAGAGGCAGGTCATAACTCATGTCAGCCTGGGCCTCCTGCATCATCCCAGGAGCTCCTGCGCCTTCCCGAGGGAGCAGCAGAGCCACGTGGCTTCCTAAAGCAGCAGCCACATCTACTGCCAGGAGGAGCACGCGCGTCTTCTGCGGCTGGTGGAAACTAATGGGAAAGGAAATACAGTGAAAGCATCTTGCATTCCTACTGTGCTTGGGCAGGAATGAATCACATCATGAATCACAGTAAGCCCAAGAACTGATTGTCCTAAAATGAGGCCTCAGGAAGTCGATTCCCCCATTTGCTTTGGCTAAAGTGAATCTGGAGCCCTTTACAGCCTGAGAGGAACGTCCCCATGGAGAAGCACTGCAGGGCGGCCGGGTCAGAAGCAGAACAGGAGTACAGTCAATATAACAACATTAACACACTTCACAACAGCAAGAGCACAACTGGAGCACGGGTTTGTTTGCTGTGGGATTTTTGGTTCCTTCGGAAGGCCATTGGGGCTCATCAGCTGCTGAGTAAATCATCTCCTCAAGCTACAGAATTTTGTAACAACTGGTTTAGTGCTATATGTATTATCCAGGGCCTACATGATGCATGAATGGCTTCTGTCAGCAAACCAAATCCTCTCTCTTTCTTGGTGGAAGTCATACCCACTCCACAGGGAAGCACCTTCAGGCAGCAACCTTGATTATTGGCAAAAGTTTTGTTCCTGCTCACTTTCATAGCTGGTGGGGAGTATGATGGTATCAGAAGCAGCAACTTTGTGGAAATATTTTGGTATTTTTATTTTCTTATGTTAATAAACTGCAGTTTGCTTTCTGCATTAGAAGAGGATACTGAAGGATGATCAACTAATGCACACCTGTGGAGAAAGCTGATGGAATACAATCTAATAACTGGTACCATGAAAGCTTTGCAGACTTGATGATTTCTGCCMGGGAACGTGGCTTTAACTGACATGGTACCAAACTGAGTCAGAAAGCGTCAACAGGTACCGACAAAACACTGACTCCAGAGAAAAATCAATTCAAAGAAGTTGGCCATTTTTAAAAATTAGTCCCACTTTTTTCTTCTTACTGAGGAGAAAAAGAGGGCATCACAAATGAAATCACTCCCCTCTATGCCAGGACTATTCCTTCCCTAGGGAATGGCAGCAGCTTTGTGCAGCAAGCTGTTACAAATTCACTATAACTAATTCAAAAGGATTTTCTAGCAGGATGTGATTGGAACAGCAGCTGCAACAGCTAGCTATGATTTCTAAACTGCTGCCCACTGTTTCCTTTTACAGCTTCCAAATCAAGCAAGACGCCATTTGACAACTGGAGCTGGACAAAAACATTCTGGGGAAAATGCTAAGAGGCTCTTTGGTGTTCTCGAAATCACCGAGTCAGAAGAAACCAATCCTGTCACCTGAGGTTATTTTGTATTTTATCATCGCATTAAACAGGTATGAAATTGAGCTCAGAATGGGAGGCTAAAAGTCAAGCCTATCGCCATTTTATAGGCTATTTACACATCAGGCACAATTTGGGGATTGGGAAGGTGTTAAAATCTAGCATTAGTGTAAAATAAAGTACTATCAACTGTGCCGCTAGAAGCAAAGTTTGGAGTCCTGSTTTATACACAAAGCCTTAGAACAGCGAGTTCTGGCAGCCCTAACTGCAATTGAAAATACAGACTTTAAGATCAGAGCCTATTTTTTGCCCATGCTTTTGACTAGAATGAGATCAAGCCCTGGCCTGAAGCCAGGGAGAAAATGCCAACCTGCACTTGCAAATTGACGTCTGGGTCTTTAATTTAAAAGCCTGACCATGAGTCCAGGAGGCTGATGGAGGAGGTACTTCTGGGACCTGCTTCCTTTCAGGTGCCCTGGCAGCAGGATTGCTCCTATCAAGAGCTGAAGATCCGTCCAGGTATGGAGCTCCATAGGTCCATAGGTACCTCCATACCAGAGGCATAAAAGGCCCTCACGTGAGGCAAGCTGCTTATCCTGCACGTTTATAAAGGGCACCTAGGCCCTGCTCGAGCCTTGCCAGGGATGCAGGGAGAACCCTGGCACTGACACACACGCGGGCCCACGCTGCGAGCAAGGCGCCAGGAGCAAAACCTGCACACACAGCGAGAAGGCGGGAGGGTTAATAAACCCACGGAGCATATTTAGACCTGAAATATATATGGGTTCTGAATCTTCAGCTGCGTGTTTACCACTGTTTTAGTAAGTTGTGTAACAAAAACTGGACAGGTGCTAAACATTTGTACTTACATCTTGAACATTAAACCTTAAGAGTCTCCAGAATGTTATTTTTGAGTTTTACACTAATAAAGGGAGTGATATTTTAGAAGATGTGAGGGAGAGTCTTAATCTTTAAGTTCTCATTGCACCCAAATAAAAGTAGTCTCAGAGTCACAGGATGGTGGAAGGGACTTCCATTTACAGCTTTGGGTTAGGTATTTCTGTACGGCTTGTGCTCTGGCTACCTGCCATTAATTAATATATTAATTTCAGAGATTTATATAAATTTATACATTTTTTTAAATTGTCAAAAATTTTGCTTTGTTCCTCTCCAAAATCAGCCTGGCTGCCACCCTGTGCCCCATGCTCTCAATGTCCCTTCTTGAGCAGAGGGTTGGACTGGATGATCTCTAGAGGTCCCTTCCAACCTTGACCAGTCTGTGATTCTGTGACATGCAATTCAAACCAGATGTAAACCATTTAAATCTATTGCCTACCCTAAGCCATCCCCCTTATTCATACTAGAGCTGCAGCAGTGCAGAAAATTGCTTCCCTTTTTGTACCAAATTTGTAATGCACAGCTACATGAAACTTCATTCAATGATGGCAAGTGAACAATAACTATAACTAGTCATGTAGATTACATGCTGAAATTCCACTTTAGTTAATATAAGTGCATGGAGAGGTAGGACTAAAACATCTGCCACCTCCAAACTCCACCTTCTCTCCCCACCCTTCCAAAAGGAGCAAGCCCTAAGCCTTGCTAAAGACAGCGTAATTTCATTTATAGGGCACTATCGCTCTTCCAAGAGAAGCTTRAAATGCAGAAAGCAGAGCCGTCCACATGCAGTTCCCTGGTCATCTTTGTCCACACAGGTGGAGAACCTTCAAATCAATGTTAACTTAAGCAGGCTAAAGAAATATCTACTTCAACAAAAGCAGCTTATGCTGTTAAGAATTCACATATCCTACACATGTGCACCTAAACAAACTCATTTGCAAATCTGCAGGCAATTGTGGATGGCATTTATGTGGGTTAATTTGAAGCAGCTTGGATAGGCAGAGTGTTCTAGACTTTAGAAAACTCTATGCAAGTGTCTACTTAGTTCACAATGCATTTTTTTGCATTGCAAATAGTGCAGCTTGTCAGCTAAGATGCATAAACAACCTTGAGACATAAGGATACTCACTCTGTGCCTTGACATAAACAACACATACTAACCATCATTCATGTACTCAGGAAGAGCAGCACCACATTCCAAGTTAGACATGACACACTCGACTAACAGATGTGTTATATAGGGTGACAGTAAAAGTAGTTATTCAAGCATCCATCTACTACCACAAACAAGGCCCACAAGTTGTAAGCTGTATGTTTTGTATAATCACATATCCCACCACAGCCAAAACTCCATGAAAATCTAGAATAAGCAGTCAGGGTAAGAATGTAACAGACAGGGCAAACTGTAAGACAGTTCTAAAACATAACACACAGTAAAGCTGAAACATTACAAATGGGTTGAGACCCTACAGTTTCCAACAGAATGTCAAAAGTTACTGCTTCTCGACAGAAATTGAATGTAAGCTTGAAACTAGTAAAGTGTTCATTTGTCCTTAAAATCAGCAGAACACAGTCTGCCATTCAGAGCAAAGGTTTTCTCCAAAGCCATCATTTCTCTAAACTGAAGGCTACCATGTACCCGTTTGCTACCTAGGAACCCCTCTATCAGAAACAGGTTTGTTTTTGTGGATGGCAAAAGATCTAATATGTGACCATAGTGCTACATATCCAGTTCAAAGAAACTGAAAACCGGGTACCTATGTTGAGAGCTGTTTCCTGCTTGTCCCCTGTCAGAACCCATATCTTAATTTCTGCCTTCATTAGTGTTGCTATTGTTTCTGGAACACCTGCTTGCAGGCGGTCTTCAATGGCTGTAGCTCCAAGCAGCAGCAAGTCCTGGAAAGAAGAATAAAAGAGGGGATTGGTTGTTTTTAGATAAACCTCTGCTTGGAACAAACTCAAAAGGGGGATTAAAGGCAACATATTGCTAACGCAGCCTTTCGACAAGCAGTATACGGTACAGTAAATTTTTGGTGTGGCTATTCCACTTCCTGTATGTAAAATTCACATTTCAAGAGTTACAGAAAGGGACCAAGTGTTTCTGATCAGAAAGATGGCACAGTTTCAAGAGCAATTAATTGAAGTTATACAACTCCAGAGCTAGCCTATGGATGAACATATATATTATGTTCATTCACTAATCACCATAGCAACATGATGAGTGGTCACAGTTTATGTATTTCTTAAGCTCACAGAACAAAAGTCACCTGGCATCACATCATTTAAACTAATTTCCATCCCATAAAATGTATACACAGACTGGATACAATCACTCAAAGCAGAAATTATTGCAACTATTTATGGATATAATCACAACATCTATGTAATAGAAGTGGAATGAACATTAATCAATCCAAGTATCTCCAGTCTACATACAGATGTCTGCCAGAAAAKAATAAGAATGTCTCATACAACAATTTAATATTACAGAGTTAGACATTCTTATACAATTCTAGAGCATGTGATCGAAGACATTTGGCCACGTTACAGAAGAGAAAATCAGACAGACAAAAATACCTAAGAAATAAGCTTCCTCCAAAGATACCATCTAGTCAGCCAATTCTAACTTGAGGAGTAGCTTAATGATTCCTTAGGCAATGAAGGCTGCTCAGTTTAAGAGAAACTGATACAATTTAGGTTCAGTTACATGCAATATTTCAGGCCCTGTACAGAAAAAGTAACAAATTCTATGCTCTGTAAGGACAATAATTACTCAAAACAAACATGAAAACTGAAGGACAGGTTAGAATTAATGGCAGCCTACAAAGCTTGATGAATAACAGGCCTTGGCAAAGCCAACTTGGTCAGGAGATGTTCAGATGGTAAAGGAAAGAGAATAGACTTCTGTAATTCATTTGCTTTAGTACCCTGTTACCTCTGGATAAAACATTAGCCTCATCAATGCTAACAAATTTAGTAGGTAGCAGTCAACACTGCTTTTCAAATGCCAAATGATTGACCTTGCTTCTAGGAATAGTGAAATCCATTTTTCAAGATGATATTAAAATGGGAAAATTGGTACAAAGCTGGGAGCCAAAGATTATTCAAGCAGTGAGAAAAGGGCTTAAATTGAGACTCAACCCACGCTGAGCTGATAATTTTTCACTTCAGTGTAAACAAAGAGTGGGAAAGAGCAGTGTAGGAATCAGAAAGAAACTAAGCAAATCTCCAAAATCAAGGATTAGACAACCACATAACTGAGTGACCAGCATGAGTGACCAAAATGAAACCTTATATATGAGTTTGGCTCTTTAGCTTAAAGATTCTTTGGCCAGATCCCATCCTAGCCTCAACCTCCTCCTTCCTCCTGTCACAACTAATTGAAATAGGCAACCAACGGTGCTACAGAAGGTTAACAGTAGCAGCCCAAAGAAGTGTCCAAAGCTCAGAGAATGTTTAAAACAATCCACTAAACAAAATCAGAGTGAAGTTAGAGGAAGAGGGAGTGGAAAAAGCAAAAACGAGTGCAACTACTAGCACTTCAGAGAGCAAAAGAAACCTAAGAGCATCACAGAAAGATCAGCTCGTGGTGCTGAAATTGCAACATTCTTTATTACCTCTGATTTCTTTATTATCAACTGTCCCCTTGCAAAATTCTAAGCTCAACAACTTGCAGGAAAAGAGCAGCTTTTAATATTATTTCAGCGTATGAGACTATAGGCCTCAATGAGCACATCATTCCTTTTCAAAAACTGTTTCAGATACTACAGATAKGATCATTTTCTCTTCATATATTGGGCACAGGGGAGCATGGTAAAATATACTGATGATGTAAGGTATCTTCTATCAAATTACATCAAACTTATTCAAGACAGCAGGACAAAAAATGGATGGAAAGTAGTAATGACAGTTTTAAAGAAGTCTGTCTCAAAGACTTCAAAACTAAACCTGACCTGAGAAGTCGATGGACTGAACTTGCCCCTGAGTAGAAATGCCTTTCTCTCTATCACTCTCCAGTAAAATTAACACTTTATTGTACTGTATCCTGCCTGAATTCTATGGAAAATTATATGTAAAGGAATCAGCATCTGATACTTGGAAACATCTGTATCTTACCTTTTCAATGATCTCATAGCATTCCTCCAGCTTCTGGGTTCTGTCTTTCAAAATCGTACTGGCTTCATTGTAGACATTCAGCCACTCTCTGTAAGCATTTTCTGACAGATCTGCATAAGCAATGCACAGGGTCCTCAGCCCTGCAGAACAGAAGACAGCMACCTCACACAGTAAAATTACACCGAGTTTCAGCAAATCATCAACTCCCTAATGAATGCCAAGTTCTTAGGCCTCTCACTGCAGAAATCTAAAGCTTTTCAGGCACAAATAGCACTAGCCTTTGGATTCCAGGCAATCTCCCTGTACCCTTTAAAAATATTTGGGTTTTCATACATTCACAGGTAGAGTGATCACTTAGGTCACTATTGCTGCTACAAGTCAAGACAGAGCTTAATGGTCACAAACTTCTACCTCATTTTTAATGTAATCCAGCCATATTAGAGCAACAAGAGGGGCAACTTTAAGTTGTTCCATTAAAGTCTAGAAGAAAGTCTGGCCTTTTTGATTAAAAAAAAAAATCAAACTGCTACATAAGATTGAGACATTTATCTCTGAGCCAAATACACTACTCAACCCAATAATTCCTTTTGGAAAGACTTTTCTCTATCAGCATGTTGCACATAACTTGCATTAATAATTACATGTTACGCATGCACCAAAGAATACAGAAAAGGTCCCATGAAGCATCAAAAATATGTTATTAGACCACTGACAAAATTAACATATGTAAGTAATGATTTTTCTTCTGGCAGGAGACAACCAGAAAGGAATGTGTGTGCCATAAAAAAATACAAAGARTTAATTACTAGAAATCTGGGAGTTTGCAGCCACTCTCCTTTTTTTTAAGCTGCATAAAATAGTTTCAGGTTTAGGAAGAAAATAACCATAAAAGTTCATGTTTTCACTATAATGCCAAGTTCTAGGCTCTTTTAAGAGGGAACAAAACCAAGCAGTTCCTGTAAATGTGTATGTTGCATCAGTCATAAAGGTCTTAATTAAGGGTCCCTTTCAGATGATCTTCGAAGTCTGGGTTGCTTGTGTTTCTCAGCACGTTCAAATCGTCACCCTGTTTCATACAGCCAAGACCTTTGAGTCATCTGACTTTTAAACTGGTAAAAACACTACCAGTTCTGATGAAATGGAGATGTCCAGGCCCCTTCCCTTTAGCAGCCACATACTGAGCTTCATCCTGCTTCTTGMAAATTCAATTCCCCCACTGAAATTCAAAGAGAAGGAGAAGTAGGCCATGCATTTCCTCAGGCCTAAACTTATCCCAGAGTTGCTAATTTGCTGATCACACACCACTTCTGAAATAATCTTCATAGCCATCTTATTTGGCACCTCAAAGCTCCAACAATGCAGAAAATACTGCAAAGAACTTGATAACTCAACTCTTACCACACGCTGTCTCTCTTACCTTCAGTGGCGAAGTATTCAAGGTGGCACAGGGTTTGCTCCATATACTGGGAATCTTTTGAAAGCCTCTCAAAAATTACATTATCCTATTAAAACCAAATTCAATACAACAGAGTAAGTCTGCATATGAAGTTTCCATTTSTGCATCAACAAACTCTGGTGACTTAACCCAAGTGGACTGGCTAATACCATCACCCCACACTAAATGTCCAGGTAATGCCCTTGGCTGTAGCCACACTCATCTGAGTGCATCATGTGGGTTGTGCACCATGGCAGACTGACTCCAACTTTAAATAATGGAGAACAGAATTACTCTTCCCCGCTCCCTGCTTTCCATAAGGGGTCCCATTATTGAACAGAATGGGATGCGCCTCTTTATTAAACTGAATATGTATATTTTCAGAGAGTAAAAGCATGCGATCTTACTCATAGTTCATAGAAAAGGGCTGCTTCTTGCAATCCTTTCTACATAAGACTCCCTTCCATGCATGATAAGTAATAGAAGAAGAAGTGGAAGGAAGAAACATTAAACAGGTTCAACTACAGAATCGTCTTGGAAATCAGCTTCCTCCTGTCAACAACTGTTTTTTTATCACTAAAGYAAATGACAATAGAAATAGAAATCACAGCAGTAAGGAAAATGCAGCAGCATCACCTATATACCCAGAGCTCCTGGAATTTCTTCTGTGGCTTTCAGAACGAGTTGCTGCATATATGAAAAATAAGAATATCTGCTTTTTCTTGAAGAGGTACTGGTGAGCAGGTTGAGCACACAGGCCTACCTCTGTCACCGAATAGAGGCACAGCACACAGCTCATTTATAATCAAAGCATCAGGACGGAAGGCAACTCYATGAAAGAGCTCATGCAGAAGGGGCAATTTACTTAAAAGTTTAGCTGAGGGTCAGATGTAGCAGAACATAAGTGACAGYCCCTCTGTTACAGGTCTGATCCTGCGCACACTGAAGACAGGATGAATTTTTTTGACCACAACCTCTCCTGTTTTTCCTCTCCTTCCAGTGGGACACTGAGATCTGTGTGGACAGGCACAAGGGCAGTGACTGCAGTCCACAGGGTCAGCTGYGAGGTCCTGCTGGAGCCACGACTTTGCAGTGCTGCACAGTGACCACGGACCTGACTCCATCCCCTGCCCTCAGCACATCTTTACCAAATCAGTGCAGCTAAATGGAAACAGAGCAGTGCACCCAGGCCTATCTGTCAGGCCCAAGTCAAGTAAACCAGATCCCTACAGAAGTCAGAAACAGTTTCCCCAGTTGTAAAATGCAATCTCCATAATTTTCCGTTGAAATTAGAGCCACTCGCTGGCTGTGGCCAACACCAGTTTTACAGGCTTCGCATTTGTGTAAGTTATTGCTCTCGTCAGCGAAGACAGAAGCCCAACATGGTGCAAGCCACGCTGACAAATCACAGCAGGTGCAGGGACGTGGGAGAGCCAAAGGCTGCAGAGCAGGTTTTGGCATCCCAGGTTCAGGCCAGAGCATTTAGTCTAGCTCCTGAACTGCTGCTGCACAGCTGGGTGAAATCCTGCCTCTGCTGAGGTGAAGGGCACGAGGCACATTAGTTTCAGGATTTCGGCTGGGTGGTGAAAAGGCAGGAGCAGCCCTTCTGCCTGCAAAAATAGTCAGTCACAGGAGGAATTACGGATCTCCTAAATCTTCTGAACAGAGAGCCAACAGGTATTTGGAATAAGAAATGAAATGCCAGCATCTTAAAGCCATGGCTGTTGAAACAATAACTGGTATTGTTAAATCTCCATCAAAGTAGCTTTATTACTTACAGCCCCTTTGCAGTAGAGACGTAGTTGTCCTGCTGGAGTTCGAACAATTACTGACATTCGCTTTCTGTTACTGTAGGAAGAGAAATAGCTGGTTTTGTCTCTAGTTGTATCGATCAAGAGTAAGTCCTGTTCTAGTCAGTGATTTTTCTCTGATGTGCTCAGCACAGCTGAGATCCAGTGAGATTAAACAGTAGTAACTTAAGATCTGGATGGCTAAAAGAAATATTAAATTGTCTGTTTCTTGCTCCAGCCCTGTGGTTCCTGTGGTTATGTGGTCATCCCGATCCGATCTGAGTCTGTTCAAGTTCACAGAGAGGGTTCACAYAGACTTGCACCCAAATACATATAAAAATTTGGATAAAGACAAGGCTGTTCAAATATCCCTTTGAAAGGAAAGAAGAGGAATCTTGTTTACTCTCAGCTTTTTATTATATGAAGGAAACTGAGGAACGTTGAGGCTAGAACTGGAAGTCCTTTGGTTGAATGTGTATTAGGTGGAGGCTTAATATGGACACAGCGRTAATGGTTTAACTTTCTAACTTGAAGGAATTGAGAGCGTGCAGAAATATGTCATAAAGACGAGTCACGGATTGCTGGGTATTTAACCTCAAGGAGACCTATGCAAAACTCCCATGAAGAGATGCCAGTGTAAACACCGAGGGACAGTTTTGAAGACGCTAGAATTTATTTTAGAAATAAAAATCCCCTGCTCTGGCATAAACTCTTGGTACTAACCCACACAGGAAAGGACCACAAATCCAGGCTACATCTTGTCAGATGCCCTTGGTGCTTCTCCTAGCATGAACCTAATGGACTATTCTTCTCATACTATCTGCATAAGTAGACAACTCTCCCCTTCCTGCTAGAAGCCCAGCAGCTGAAATATTGTCAGACTTTTCTAGCATGCAGTAAACTTTGGATTTTTCTTATCATACAGGAACACAAATGCAAAGACCACCCTCCTAAATGGCAGTGAATGTTTGCTCACACAACTTCAACTCTGCCTTTTTGAATGTCTTGTACAAAGCAGCTCCCAGCTTTTCTACAAGCTCTTTCCATTGATCTAATCAGACATACAGTTAGGATGATTCAGAACAACGGAAAGTCAGCAGCCAAGCTTATAAAATTGTATTTACTGAGAAAGAGAAATGGCCATGATTGCCAAAGGTTCAGGGGTCCAATTTGCCTCACAAAGCTTCTCACTACATAGACATAAGCAGTCTGGCTCCTTTGAAGTATTTAGAAGGCTGGATGCTTCTTAGAACAGGGCACCAAGCAACCCTGCTACCTGCACCAAATGTCCCACCTACCCAAATAAGAGTAGGTTACAAGAGTGCTAGAAAAACTACAGACTCCAAGTGTGCTCTCGAAGCAGACAGGTGCCACCTCCTCTACTGGTACATTAGGAAATAAGTGAGGCACAGAATGACTCTTCCAGGGCAGGAAGGTCACACTAAAGCTACAGAGCCAGAATGGCAAAGATCTCCAGGCTCATACCTTAAGAGCTACCTGACCCCCCGCTGTAAGAGGTTCTGTTTTAACCTCACACTGGGACCATGAGAGAGGCAGGGCAAAAGTAAAGTGCAGCTTTTCTGCTGCATTAGCTGAATCTTTCTATTCCTAACATGGGTTTATTAAAAAATTCTCTTATTATCCTGCACTGAGCATACAAACTTACCTGGAAAATTCCAGCACATTAAGAATTTCAAAAGTTTCTTCTTTTCCCAGCTATGAAAGAAAACAAATATATACTTAAGTCTTTATTGCAAGATATTCTTCTATGTGTAAGCATGCAGCATTTTCATTTCCAAAGCCCACTGCAAACAGTAAAATGTGGTAATAGCTCCCTCTCCTGGGCCAGGGGAGGTAGAGCCCTATTTAACAGAGCTGCTCTAAGCTTGTTTGAATGTCTAAGGTTGTGGCATTTTCTCTCTATTTACTCTTCTGTGGATCTGCAGTCACCATTTCAAGAAAATTAACTTTTACACTAGAAGGATAAGCATGCTCTGAACATGAASGTATTTGCTTACTTTTTCAAGGTTATCACACACATCTACTTAACAAGCTTTCTGCATCTTATACAGGAGATTTTACTGAGAGGGACAACTCTCCAACGTTGAATTGCAAGAATTCAAGCATTTAGAATAATAACGGCTAAATACAGGGTTACAGAAGACCTCCCAGACCCATGCATTTCTTCCAAGGAAAATGTGTTTGCCCAGCCTGCCCAAATAAAGGCAGAAAAAAACTCTTTAGGCACAACTTTTCCCTTGTGGGCTTGCAAGTTCTTATGATCCATTCCACACAGGAGGAAGACAGGGAAGGAATGTGTATCTAAAACAGCCTGAGTCAGCTCTTGCAAATTCTGCAAAAGCCCTCAGCATGCAGCCTCCTGAGGTCCCTGCCATGGGACATGCCAGGAGAACCAGACAGGACACTGCCCCCGTGCASTTGGCAGCAGCCGCCACATCCATCCCGTACTCACCGCGTCGATAATAACTGAATGTGGAGTCCTGGCTGTGAAGACATAACCAAGCCTTTTGGCTCCTTTCACTAATGCTCCTTCATCTGCCRGTACAAGAAAAGGTTGAATTTAACGTGGCATGCGGAGGGAGAGGCAGGCAAAGCTGGTACTGACACACACCACGTGGCCCATGCGCAGCCGCCCCCRTCCCCATGCAGCTGAGCTCCCACATCTGGAGCAGATAGTGGATGGCTGAGTAGTTCCCTTATGTGATTTTCATTTATATTTATATGATTTGCATTTATATTTTCATTCCTACAAAGGCCGTATACGTTCCAGGACACACACTTGGCACCCAATCTACATAAAACGTCCTGTAACTACTGAAGCATTAAGCTCCATTGTTGWGGAAGAACCATATTTATTTCTTTATAAAAGAAAATGAAAGACTGAAGATCTCAGTCTTTCTTCAATCAGTTCTGAAGATGACTAAGATCAAAGCAATGTTACTCTGTATTTTTTCAATATACCTGTCATCCAGTTTCTGCCATAAAAACACTAAGTCCTTCTCAAAGAAATTCAGCACGGTCTCCTGGAAACTGAACTGGGGAGCACCACTAAAGGCTTAAATAATTGAGCTGGAAGCAGAGRCAGCACCTGTAGTAGCACCAAACAAATTTAGTGCCCAGCCCCAGTGASCGCCGTTTCTCTGCTTTGGCACTGTGACCCGGGGGATCTTCATCCCACCCCTCAGCCTTTCATTAGGATGTAAATAGCAAATGATGCTGCTTCATCACCAAATACATCCCRATAACAATTACAGAAACCTCCTCACTAGTCGAGGCAATTTGAGGGGGAGCAGGGCCCTACTGCTCTGCATTTTGAGCCTGCCTCCCCTTTCAGTGCCTCTGCAGTCCTTCCTAGCAGTGCCTCACATTGACATTTTGTATCTGCACAAAGCCACCTGGTGCTAAATCAWGAGGAGACCAAAGCAAAGCCCAAAGAATTTGCATCCAGACCAAGTAGAGCCAACAAMTGCATATGCAGAGACAAGCCAGTACTTCCATATATCAGCTTTATATCAGGGAGTCAAGGCACAGAAAGCCTTAATTTTGTGTGCACCCCTGCAGAAAGAGGTAGAAACCTAGAGCAGAAACCTCCTGAGAATAGAAGGGATCACGAGTCCAGCTTAGCTCTACAYAAACATCAGACACATCAGCAGTTTTGCAGGAAACGTGCATCAACACTAAAAGATGCCAGATTTACGACTAGCAATTAAATCCAAACACAATTTGCTTCTAAAAATAATAGTCTTTCCAAAAGATTTTTTTCCCATCCAATTCTACTCCCTTGCTCCTTAACTCTCAGAGAAGGAATTAAAAAACCAACCTGGAGAGGAGGCCTGGTAGATGATTTTATTTCCTTGTCTCTCAGGAACAACAGTGTGGCACACTGCCAGCAGGGTGAGGAACTCCTGTATGTGCACAGCTGTGGGCTACAAGGACAGCAAGTCAGGTTTAACTTGGCACATGCAGTCCAAGACTATTTGCAGAGAGCTCTCAGGTCTGCAGATATGAAACAAAACTATTCYCTGATTCTAGCTAACAGCCTCATTTTTTGTCCCAAAACATCAGTACAGCAGAGTTGAGGGACAGCATGAATGAAATAAAAAAATAAAGTTAAAAACTTAAATTAAGGGATGAAGACCTGACAAGACAAAATGCCTTTTCCCCCCCACCRCCCTAAATACAAAGTATTTGTTCTGTAGTGCCCCAAGCTTCATATAGGCAAGGATGCCTGTCACAAGGGGATGAACAAGCAACATGAAATATTCTTGTGGTAGCTTCTATTACAGCTTTCAGTGAATGGAAAATAACCACACCAGAATCAAACTCATTGCAATTGCACCCCGAGCAAAGAATTTCCAAAGCAGACGGCAGCTGAATAACCAGCAGAAGGCAACATCATCTGCTCCTACAAGGTAACACATCAAGGGGAGGTTTGGTCACTGCTCGCTACCTGTTCAGCACCCTGAGAACACATACACAGGGGACACACAGTCCATAAAGACTGCAGAGTCTTTCAGCACAACGGGACGGCTCTTGAGACACCAGCTCTACAACCCAGCAAGGACTTCCTGGCACTTGGTCTCAAAGCTCTGACCAAGAAGCTCCAGCAGTTGTAGCTATGGGTACACGAGGAAGGTCCCCAACCCCTTCTGTCCTCCACAGCTTCCTCTTTAGCCCAAGGTGTCAGTACCCAACCACTCAGCCCAGGTGCAACCTGACCTAACTTCATCCACAGCTCAGACAGACATAACACACTTGGCTGTAACAGCGTGGTCCTCTTCTCCCACTGCTCCATCCACAGCCACTGCAGTCGCTGGCATCTAGATGTAGAGTCATTTCAACTGCTTGCACAGTGACTGGGACAGATAYGAGCTTGGCAGTGTTAAATTTACAGAAAACCTTTTAGGTTGTTCTTTATAGTTGGGCTTGCAGACTTTGATAATTGTGACTTTAGTAAATACCACCCCCTTTCCAAACTTTACATTGTTCTAGCATGTTTTATACATACTCTGTCTTAACAGAGCCACTAAAAAGTCAAGAGCATTGCAAAGTTCTGCATGTGCACCACAAGATCTGGCCAAAACCATGCTACTGTAGTWTTAAAAATATGATGAGAAAAGGCCAGTCTTATAAAATAAGATTCTTATAAAAAAAGGATTCAAGAGTTTTGTTAATTAATTAAAAGATGTTTCTACACAGTTTATTCAGCTTACGGCAGAAWGCTTGCACAACAGACAAGAGGCTAAAACATTCCAACCAATTTCAAGTGGAAGTTACGTGTCATCAAAAATTCTCTAATTGAGAATTTTCTATTCCAGAAATTTTCCTATGAACATATACAGTAAAAATATGTAAGATGGTTTATAAATTAATTACTGAGATATTGAAGACTCCTGCACTTAGAGGTGCACCAATTCACAACTGGTTCTCAGACTTCTAGTACTTCTCCCCTCACCTCAAGCTATGTTATAAAATTAAAAGCCAAGCTTATGTTTTATTCCCATGTTTTATTTTAGGGAACAGGGGGAAAATGGTTGTTTGTTTTGGGGGGCAGTTGTTTTTTGATATGATATGCATAGCCTACATATTTCTGTGATGGAAATATGCACTGGCAATTACTAGGTTCAATTAGCAGAAAGCAAACTACTATGAAAACTATGAAACAATATTAGCTAACATTAATTAAAGGGAGCAGTAAGCACACCAGAGAACAAAAACAGAAGACTATAGATTCAATGCCTGTATTCARTGCCTGGTTTACTTCACGTACTGCCTTTTTGTTATGAATATTTTCAAAAGGTAGCTTGTTTTACACATGACATTTATCTTTGCACACTGGAACTTAAACTGCATGAGCACACCCCACTGTCAACTTTTGACAGGCTCTTTTCAAGAAAACAAATAAATGATATAGAATCAAAAAGAAGCACAAGAAGTGTTAAGGCAACAGCAAGTTGTTGGCCACAAGGTTGTATTCTGCTGCCATGCTATTCCCCATGAAGGCAGCACATCCCACGAAAGCTGAACCTCTCTCTCTGCAAACACACAGGCCTGACACCTTCTTACTCCAGCACCCACTGCTGCAGACCTAGCTGGCTTTATCAGAAGGGCCAGGTGAGATACTTGCTTTCTACGCATGTGAAAGTGGAAATAATCCACCTCCAATAACGACACGGGTTTTAATTCTTCCTATAAACATATTTCTGCTTTCAAGCCAATTACATGATTTGCTGCTGTCTTGGTATTTTCACAGCTTACAGTAGATTGGCAGATCTGGATGTGGCAACCTTCCAATTCTGCAACAGATGACCAGAGACTTCTCATGTCAGCTCCTCCACACAGCTGACATTTGTCTCCTAGCTATATTTTTCCAACACCAACACAGTATTTATTGCACTGGCAGGAATTGGGACAAAGTGTTCAAATTCCCACAAACCACTTGCTGAACTCGTCTTGTACAACAGCCTCACCAGCTCAAATCTACAAACACRGGGCAGCAGAGGGTCTCAGGACTTCTGGGAACATTCCCTGAATTGTTGACTACCAAACACTATCTACAAGGAATGTAGAGTTGCCTTATCTAGAAGGCACAACACTATTACCTATCAAGCAGGGTACAGACCACTGGTCAGGAAGCTGGATTTGATTTTTTCATCCCTCCCTATAAACTCTTCTCCATTTAGAAAGAAGGGGAAAAAACACTGATAGAATTCCATGTCTTCTCGGAGCAAGCTGCAGGAAAAGCCTAAGAGTTCTCCATCCATCATATCAGTACCAGATCCACACCTCCATTCACAATTCAGACCAACTAAACTGACTAGCTGTTTCCAGGCCATTTGTTCAGAAATTTATGGCATGTCTACCAAACTTGCCACTTTGCACATAGTCCTGTCACGAACTGCTAGTAAAATAGTTGTCCATTTTATTACCAGTAGGGATTATGACTCACTACCCTAAAAATATTTTAAATGAACGTAAGAGTAGGATGTTCACATTTTATCTGCAGAGCAACCAGTATGAGAATCCATCCATGTTGGACATCTCAAGCAGGGAAGCTGGTGAGACTGGAAGATGTTGTAAAGATCTAAATGAACAATCCCACTCAGGGAAAGGCACAGGGTTGTCCATGTCCGGCCATCTGCTAACCCATCATCTCACTGCATCAGTCTGTGTGTCCTTGGCTATGCCACGTGCCTTGATTTTGCCCAGGTGGTAACTGGGGCCACAGAAGGGAGGCCAGGCAGAGACTGGAGTTAGAGGCATTAAGGGGAGAATCTAAAGAGGTAAAGCAGAGGCAGGAAGAAATCCAGGCTTGTTAGTTCTTTTGCTCCTTGATCTGCTTCCCTCTGTTCATATTATCACATGCACAGCCAGAATTAAAAAAAAAGCCAACTGAGTTTATTCATGGTGCATGTGCAACTCGAAAGCACCAAGATAAAGACCATTTAGCACATTTAGCAACATACTTTCAAATTTCTGAAAAGAAAAAGCTGATCTTTCCTCATTCTTCATAATAACACTTTAAGGCATTTTCTCTATGGAAACAAGTTTGCTTTATATCTATGGCCCAACTGCAAGATTCATCCAGGTKGAGCAGCTACATAAACCAGGACAGTCAAATACGCTTAGGCACTGATGTTAAACCCCCAGAAAAGTCTGGAGAAACTTAGACACATTTTAAAGACCAATTACATTTCCTTAGTCTACTTTATATAACATAGTAATTCTTTGGACATAAGTCAAGAATAAACTTGGCCATCACTCAATCCTTACATAGCCCAGAGGGTCTACAAAATTCAGAGGTGATATGGGATGCTCAAAAGCTTCTTAGCAGATAGAAGATAATYCCATGAGGAGAAGAGCAGTATTTTTTTTTCAGCCTGAAAATAAAGTTACTTGGCTGTGAGACCGCTTTAAACTGACACTTGCCACTGAACTGAAGAGCCCTTCAAGACCAGGGATCACAACTGCAAGCAGCCTACATTTAGGTAGTGTCTAAAAGGTATCCCATTGAAGCTCCAGCTTCCCATTGAAGCTCCAGCTGGAAAAGGATCAAATATTTAAAACAAATTTATTACCCAACAAAGCACAGCAGCATCTGAATGCCCAGGGCAGCCCGTGCTATTAGACTTCAGTTTCATCACCTCGTTTTCCTAAATGGATGGGGATTGTAAGACACCTGCAAATGGCATTTGCTGATACCAGCTAGTGATGAAAACCACGACACTGAARAGATGTAGGTGGAAGCAGTTTATGCACCTTAACAGCTGACATTGCACATAGCTCATGCGCTAGAAACAAGTGATCCCTTCCTCTCCCACTCGTCTGTACCCAGCCTCACTCTCATCCCTTGGGCAGCAAGCCCTGCTTACCCAAAGTGCAGACTGTTACACGTAGCCCTGGCACTCCACACGCCTTGTGCTAAATCACCACTTGTCACTGGGTTGCATCCATCTGTCCAGGGCAGGCAGGCTCCCAAAGGAGGAGCCTTCCTCAGTGAGGAGCTTCCCCACTGCCTAYGTGGTGACTCAGCTCACACTGTGGGCTCAGCCTCTGGAATTGCACCGGGTGGTAGCATTTATCTGCTCTCTGACAGCCAAAGGAAGCAAAATTTCTACCTGAGCCATATTTAGAATGAGTAATACGTAATCTTGGAAAGCTGCCCCAATCCTCTCTTTGCCTGCTACGACAGCACATTCTCTATCCATCTCCCARGGCAGAAGGGCTACACAGACAGGAGCAGACAGTACAAGATACCCCAACATTAAAGATCCTTCGGAAAAGTAGAATAGCAACTCCATCTACACACAGCCCACTCAGTATCTTTCTTTTCTGCAAGTCTACTAAAGTGCCCTAAATAAAAATAAAAATAAAAATAAAAATAAAAATAAAAATAAAAATAAAAATAAAAATAAAAAAAATAAAAATAAAAATAAAAATAAAAATAAAAATAAAAATAAAAATAAAAATAAAAATAAAAATAAAAATAAAAATAAAAATAAATAAAACCATCATTTTCATAAGTGAACTAAATTCACAGTGTCCAGTCATAACATTCATAGGTGCACAGTTCCTGAATAAGCAGTGAACTGACATCTCCCACAGACTAGGTCCCTTTAGGACCCCCCTTAAGACCTAAAATCAGCAGTCACTGAAATCTCTACGTAAGTTTAGGCATGTGATTAAGACTCCTATTTCCTATGATCTATGGACAGTAATTTTCACTGTTTGCAGTACTGAAAGCAGGACAAAGAAAGCAGCTTGCAGTGTTCTGGATTCCTGATAAAACCAGCATTTTAACAGTATGGGTGTTAAGACTACTCTTTAAAGAAACTGTACCGAACCAGGCAGCTTTTCTATCAGTGGCTTAGAGCTTCCAACATCTATTGCCACAAGACACCATCTTTCACATGGACTTGTGTATATCAAGCTATTTTAGAGCTATGTGGTACCCACAAAAATGCCATTGTTAATTCAAGAGTGAGACAAGCAAGCAGGAAGGTTGGCAGGGACTACTGCACTTCCTTTTCTCTCAGAGCTTGTATCTGTTGTATAATTTCCTCCTAGGACAGACTTGATAACACCAGTAGACTTGTTTACCATTCTACTTCAGGGAGGCCTAGAATAGGCTGCTTAGAAGGCATATGATATTCTAAAAGTAGACTTACATGGTCATTTTCAATGTTTTGCAGCAGTCTTGGGTCATCAAATTCACATGATTCACTGGTGGAAGGAGGTAGCTGGCTGCAGAGCAAGAAATAAACCTTTTTTCAAACATCAGTGGCAACATTTCCATTTTTATCAGTTCATTTACCTTGTTGAGAAGTAGAAAGAAGTTAAAATAAAACTACACTGTTCTTGAAAACATATGCCATTCAGCATTTTGTGCATCAAGTTCTKCAGAACACCAACAAGAAACTCAAAGTGATCATGCTTGAAGGTGAAGGTTGAGAAGCTTTAAGTGTCCACCCACCWCCTAGGACAGATTTAGTAGAAGCTACTTTAGACTGCACTCCAAACACATTCATTTCAAGGTGACTTGCCCTGGTCAAAGGCGAAAACCCCTTCGTTCCTGCTCTCTCAYCAGAGTGGGTTCTGCACTAAATTGAACCCTGGAGAAATCATACTACTTTTCAGGTAATCCTGGAAAAACTCCTCCACAAAAGTGATTAGAAAGGATGCAAGAAGAGAAAAGATGGCAATGACAGAAGCAGAAACATGGAAAAAAAAAAAAAAAAACACAGGTGCATCCACTGAAATTCTACCTCTGTAGAAGCTGCAACAGGTTATAAGGGAATATCTAAGCTAAGAGGTGACCATGAATATTAACAGGCTTAGCAAAAGCAGCTTATTTCAGCAGGAAGCGACTTCCCAACAGCATTCAGTGTCTGACAGTTYCTCGTGTTGGAACTCACCCCTTTCCTGTACTTGCCATTGAAAGATACTTTAGCCCTCTTGYTTTTCCCCTCTTCCTATCAATAAGAAGATGCTACAGTGACACCTCCCCCAAAATTCTTCCTTCTAGGTTTTCACTCCCTTCTGTAGAACAAGTCAGACCCCACTTGCTCCATTCACTTAGTCTCTGAACAAACAGTGGTTCTTTTGACATAAAAGACACCTCCATATCCAGCTCTTCTCCAGTTTTCACATATTAAAACACAGCATTTTACTAAGAAAAACACTTTCCATTTCTTATCAGGCTTGAACTTAGCGACTGCAAAGTGTAACATCCAATTTCTAGCTACCTAAGTGTACCATAAGGCAGGTTACCCTCTGCTTGCAGGGTGGCTGTCTGCAATTGCAAAGAAGCACTGGCAGGCATCCAAACTGGCCCAGCCCCAGCGTGTTCTCCACCCCTTACCTCTTTTCTGCCCTTCCTCCAGGTAAAAGAGAAGTTGCATCATCACCGACGAGCTCTACAAACCAGCCACCCACCAGTTCTTCCATCAGGAGCCTACTCTTAAATAACATTATTCCCTCGGGCTTGTTTCAGTCCCAAATTTGAGAATGRCCTGTTTATTGAAATTGTCCCCACTCTGTGATACAGAATAAAAACCTCTTCGCATATATTTACCTGAAGTCTTCTGATGAACGCTCTGTTTCCAACTCTGGAAAGTGACTAAGGGGTAGGAAGAGAAAAAAAAACCACATTTCTTGAAAGCTAGAAAATAGGTAGAAGGCTCAGTGACTCATCATATATATAAACATATGCTGGAACCACGGAGTTAGCTGAACCAAGTTTTCTGCCTTTCAAAACACCTAATTAAAAATATCATGCAACTCAAAGGCCAGCTCGTCAAAGCAAAGTCAAAAAGCAAAGTCAAAAGCACTGTTCAAGACTGAAAAGGCCAACTGATATGAAACTAAAAGGGAGCCTTTCTGACAAAAATAAACAAAATAGTAAGYGATGTCCCTTCTGTATGGCCAGGAACTCTTCACTGCTTACAGCTATGAATAGAGTTGATGTTTGTGGTGAAATCCTCATTTATTTGAAGAAGTCACAAAATGGAATTCACTGTCCTTAGGTTGGATGTGCTTCCTTCTGAAGCAGAACAGAAGTTGCTCAGCACTTACTTAACACTTCTGGTTTATATTAAGCCATGACTGGCACATTAAGCAGCAGATCAGGTCAATCCTCCTTTCATTTCAAGTACTTCCCATGTTTACATTTGGTAATTTGTGTTGCAAGACATTAAAATGAAAACTGAGCTGTGATCACAAAATATAGTAATACACAAATAATCAAAGAACAGAATATTCTAATCCTGTTCTGATAAAGAACAATGTACCATTGTTCTTATTAAGCTGCAGAGCTTAATATTAAGTATTAATAGTATTAAGCTACCTTAGTATTAAGCTACTTCTCATTAAGCCACAGAGCTTCTAAAGCTATACTTACCCATAAGTCACTCCAGCAATACTACATTTCTTAAAGGTCATAATATTGCATGTTAAAGTACCTGTTTTATCAGAAAACAAGTATTTTACCTGTAAAGAAGAAAAAAAAAAAAAGAAATGATCAGCCTTCAACTTGCAAAGTAACAAAATTCAAGCAAGTAGAGAACAGATTAAGTACAGAAAAAAAAAAAAAGAAAAAACCATCCACAAACTGAGAAAACTTCAGTGTAGGAGCAGAAAAATGTTTAAAAACACATCTGTGACCAAGAAATTAAATTAATAAATCAAAAACTTAGTCTAGTTATTTGGTGTAAACAGGAAGAAGTTTCTGAAAAAATACTGTGCGGGCCAGCAAGATCTATTACACCACATAATATGACAGTATTTGTGTGTCTGAAGTAAACTATGATTTAATGACTGATGCTTTCATATCCAAACAAAGTATGAATCAGAGCTTCTTAATAATGTTAAGGAAAAGACTGATCTGAATAAGCAGGAAGAATACTGAAAAATCAAGCTGCAGAGTAGCACAAGTCAATACATATTTTGCATATATACAAATTTCCTCCCTGACTAAAAGCATAGCAAATATGAGGTTTGTGTGGTTAAGTTACATACTTCTGATTAAACTCAAGAGGAGAAAAAAAAAGAGGAATTGGTTATCTTAATTTGAATGGAAAACAGAAATGCTTGATGGGACACAACCCAATTAGGAACAAAACTGCAGATTTTTTTGACTTGCACTTCTTGACATGTTCTTGGTACGGTGAACCAAGAACATGGGCTGTTGGGCTGCCCTTCAGCCAAGATAGGTCATGCATAGAGAGTCACAAACACAGAGCAACTCTTCAAGACACTTCAAAATAAATCAGTTTAGAGTGGAGGCATGGACCTTAACGTAGGAACAATGTAGAAACCTTAATGTAGGTTCAATTCCATATGCCTTAAATGCCTATAATGCCTATATTTTTTTAAAATGCCTATATAATCTTGTATTTCTTCACGTGATGCCTTATCACTCCGTGCTGGTGAGACTTAGAGCAATGAAAGTACAGAAGTTCCTTTGACGTGGGCCACAGAACAGCAGGCAATAAAGAGCATCTTCTGACCCAACGTTCTCATGCTTCCCATCTCTGAGATAATATCACAGACATAAATTTCTCTTGACWGGTTCTCTTACCTGCCCAAGTTCCTCATTAAGGTTTGAAGTTCTGGCCATTGCAGGGGTATCTGTTTCAGGATAATACATATCTATATCCTGAAAGAAGAGCAAAATTAGACCTGAACACCAAACCTGGCAAGAATGGGATTTTCTTCCCTTCATACTACATAAAAAGCCTAATTAAGTTGGAAGTAACTTGTAGTTTCCTCATTACATCATCTTTTTAAGACTTTAGTCCAATAAGTAGGAGCTCTTAACTATTCAAAGTTTTTTTGTTGGTTTTTTTTCCTGGGTTTTCTTTTTTTTTTAATTAAAGTCATGGAAACGATGCAATTTACTCAAGCAACAGCCACAATTAAAGACAAAATGCCTCCCCGTGAAATGGGCTGTGCTACTACATTTAATTGGGAGAGGCAACAGAATAACTCCTATATGAACCAGCAAAGTAATTTCTGATGAAAAAGCCAACTCAAATCTCTCTAATACATAAGTAGCTCAGAGAATACTCATGAATTCCTCATTTACTTGAGTTCTAGACAAACTCCTGCAACTCCTCAGAAAGCAGCAGGATGAATTTCTATCAAGAGAAGCATCATTTCCCTTCTCACTGTTCACCTTTAAGAGACATCAGAGTCATTTCTCTTCATAACTGAAATGCACTTTGAAGAYAAAGCTCCCCTGAATAGAGATCACTTTTTTTTTTTGGTAGAATGAGGCACCAGGTAATTTGATCTCTTTAGAGAAACACTATGATTCAAACCAGTAGAGGTGGCCTGAAGGCCAGGCAAGCTCAGGACAAACAAGAAGAGAGTCTGGTCTCTCCATCTGCTATGGTTGAGAAAAGCTATATGCTACAAAAGAGTTTTCAAAATGTTATCCAATATGAATTAGCTGAAAGACTTCTCTTATCCAATGAAGATCAACACTACTCCCATCCAGAAAGTTTGATACACAAAAATCATCACTTACACAGGACACACAGGACAAAATAAACTTTTTTTTTAGTTTCCTGTGAAACACAGAGCACACTCTTTCACAGAAAGAATACAGTCTTTCACAGATGTTACATCACAAAAGTCAGCAGAAAACTTGGYAGTGACTTCAGTGTGAATATTTTTTCACAATTTCACTTTCAAAGGTGATGTTAACATGACTATTCTCATTACTTACCCAATTTATAAAAAGAGCCTGAGTAAATTTGACAACTTCCAGGGTCACCAGAAGACTAATTGGAATAAGGTTGTTGTACAAGATTATAAATGTCAGCAGGTTGTATCCAAAGTTGACAGAGAGCATTTCTGTGGACCAAAGGATATGAGACATCAGCATCCCAAAGGCAGGAGTACGAGTGGCAGAGTAGATGGGCAACCATATTTCTACAGTTGGCCTGATGATATTTAGTAGCACTGAAAATAATCAATGAGTGTTAAGGCTCCTTGTACAAGGACCTTTTCAGTGCTGATCTCACTACTACAGACACGAAATGCCCACGTTAACCAGGTGAGAAGTGCAAGACTGGTGCAGCTGGATGTTAGAAAACAGCCCGTGTTCTGCGGGGTCTGTGCTGAGCAGATGGTGTGAAGTGTAATATTCCACACTACAGCCCAAATTTAGAGATTTATCTGATGTGTCAACTACCTCAATTAARAGCCACTAATTAAAAGCAACATAGCTTAACCTTTCAGAAAGCCTTCTGTGTGTTTCAGGGGACAAGAAGCAAAGGACAAGTTTATTCTAAAAGCTGCCAACATTGGCAAAACTGAGATGCTACTCACATTAGACTAAGCTAAGAAAGTTAAGCAAACAAGATGACTGCACAACAGTCACAATAAACTAAATCAGGCATCCTGCTCCGGCAGAACAGCTTTTATTAGTGGTGCCAACACTGGATAAATTGCTCAAATAAATCTGCCAAGGCAACTGGCACTAAGGGGAAGAAGAAAACATTTTTAGGCTCCTTCCGTTGCTGTGGRAAGGTCTCAGGACAAAAGTGACTGTTTGTGGTGCCGAGCACGGTCGGGCCCTTCTCTGTGTGTCTGCAGTTCTGCCCTTCTCGCTGRGGGAGGAACTTAGTTCAGCATCAGACCCAGCACAGAGGCTCACCAAAGGGCCTCCAGCATTAAAAAGAAGTTAGGAAAGAGGCGGGAGAGCAAATCCAGAGGCAGAAGCCAGCAATGAAAGGTGCTGAATCCCAAGGATCAGAAAATAGGCTTGAATTTTGAAACTAGGCCCCTTCAAGTCAAATGCATAGAAACGGCATGCCATGTCTTTAAGTGGCTTTGGTCAGTTTATGAGAAAACTAGAGGCACAACTGATCGTGAAAAAAAGAAGTCTTTCACAATACTGTCCCTACAGAAATTACAGATTAAGTTAAAAAAKGAAATCTACCCACCTAACCTGAAGCACAAAAGTGTCTTTCCTATCTGTGACAGTTACAGAAGTGATAGAAACTCTGTTCAGGGATTTAACCTTGCTTCCCACATGCTTGGTTACATGCAGCACACAACTATGGTCCATCAACCTCTTTTACACTAGAACAAGTTCAACAGTCTCATGTTCCAATAGTCTTCACCAATACTACTTCCTTCAGTCACAGGAAGTCACAAGTTAAAACTTCCTCAATAAAAATAAGGGTGAGTGTGAGGAAGAGACCTTGAAAGTCATTGCTTCTGCTGCTGGAAGACTTTATTAGAACTACCAGAAGCCAGAGTCAAGTATGAGACACTCCCTTGCTCCCAGCAGACGAGTTTTAACACTAATCTCACACATCAAGCTCATCTGAAACAGAAGGCAGCCTTTGTGGTCTATGTAGCCACCACCAATAAAAAGAACATTCGCAGTTTCAGCGAGACCGTTTTTACATCTTGAGATTTACATCTTGAGATTTACATCTCAAGATGCCTCTAACTCATTTTAGAGCTAGCTAATATAAACTGTCTCTGCTGCGCGACAATTTATATTTCATCCTCAAGTGCTTGCATAAGGTTCATATCTTTACCTAAGCTGATAAATGAAACCAAATGAAACTCTTTTATAAGCACAGTCAAGAGATCAGTTTTGTCTGCAAAGTGACATAAAAGTCAGAACCCTGAGTGTCTCTTGAAATAATGTGATACAGGACAGAGTCATAAACTTTAGCCTGCTTTTACCAGCATGYTTTTTTTGCACAGCGTCACTGAAGGAGGTCAGTGTGTTTAACTGCAAACCACAGTAAAGGACACAACTGGAAAAATCCTTTTCTTATGTAAATGAGCATAAAATCAGTACCATTCTCTAACAAGGTACGAGCAGATAGGATAGACACAGTGCTAGTGCTGATCTATCTGAAAAACAAACTGAAACTTCAGCTGCATCTGGGAAGCATTTATTTGTCCACCAGCCACCCAAGAATCATTCCTGCCTCTCTTGTACCAGATTCCCTCCTACCTAGACAGCAGCTTAGCAGTAGTTAGCAATCTTTGGAAGGTTTTATTAAGAGAAACCTTACTAAAACGTTAAAAGCTATCCCAGTCTGTTCTCTAAATACATTGAATCACCAATAACTAATGACAGGCTTTATGTCCTTTCCTTTCTTTCTTACTTATGTATTTATTCAACAAAACTGAGAGCCTCGTTAGCCCTGCAGCCTGTCTGCATACTGACCGTTTGAGCCAAGGTACCAGACGACTTCACCATGGGTTCTGTTCCATAATAAGGCACCTACAGAACTCACAAGGGCCATGACCAGGAGAATACAGAACAACACCAGAATCTGCATGTTGGTTACTTTCTCCACATTTGATCTCTTCAGGGGTGCTTTGGTTGAATTCTAAGGAGCAACAACAACAATAAAAGGTTTAGTAATGATTTAAACAGGAGGAGACTGCAGAAGCAAACCTGGTCTAATTTTTAAGAGTCAGATACAGAATTTGCCAACTCCATCATCTAATTTCACATTGTATGTAAAGCGCAACAAGACAGCAATGGAATCATTAGGCCTACTGACTCCTACGTTGACAGGAGATGGGATGAAAAGACCCATTAGCTTCCACAGATGCAGGGGGCTCATCTTCTCTCTACCCATCTCAGTGCTGGTCAGMAGTGGCACGCAGCACATGCCAGCGTCTGGTCTCCAGGCATTCCTTGTCACTGAGGCAGTGACAAGATGGTAGCATTGGCCTCATGATCCCAAAGCTCTATAGAGGCAGAAAGTCACCATTACACCTCTTCAGCTGCAGAACTCCACAGAACTTTAGATGCTGTCCAGGTGCCATACTAGTCATTATATAAAATGTGTCTACATATTGTACTTATTTTATATGCATATACACATATATGCATACATGCATGCATATTAATATGGTACCTATAACTCCTGATATCCCTCAAGGCCTGTCTGTCTTAAATAGCTCTGAATCAAGTCTTTATTTTCATGAATTAACTTTATAGACAAACGAAATACATGAAAACTTGTAACTTCTCTGAGAACAGGCTTCAAGTCTCCATACTGCAGAGATCTTTACCTGCATGAGTTTTGTATCATGTCCCGTATACACGACAATACCCAAGACCCACTGAGTGTTCCTCAGTTGTGCACCTCTTAGCAAGATCTGGTCAGGTCCAACAGAAACTGGACTGCAAAGCAAGAAATAGATATTTAAATTCTTCATAACACTTTAGGAAAGTATTTCTCCTTTCAGCTTTACTCCCTCTAAAGAAAGGAGAAAAAAGGCAAAAGAAGTAAAGTATTTTAATGAGCTATAAATCTTACACAGTCCTTGTAATATGYAGGCTTCAGTGCTCTGAAAGCCTAATCCCTGTTAAGGGCAGCAAGGTTACATGAGAGTTGCTGTAGTTTCCCAAACTTAAAAACTTGTTTGGCAGCCCTTAGTCTCCTCTAAACTTCATGTTGCCTAATGTGAGCTCTAGCACAACAACATGCACTACACGTGCAAACGGATCATCCATTCCAAGCACATCATAACCCCAAGTAAGTCATTTAGAAAAAGTTTGGAAAGGTGGAACAGCCCGTGTGATTGTCAAGTGGAAGCAGGAGATCTTCTGCTATTCGTGTGTCTGTCACTATTCAGCTAAGCTACCCAAGGAATGCAGATTTTATGCAGGACAATGAAACCCATGTACTTTAACTGATCCTTAAAGCTCTACAAATTCAAATACTAAAAGTACTATATTTTCAAAAGTTTCTTTCTTACAATATTTGAAATACACCAAAGATTTCAACTGATAAAGACTCCAGATTCTGGAACAGATCTGAACATGGTGGAGTACTGGGTCCCGCTGGAAAGCAGAAGCTTCCAGCTTTTCCTACCTATCTCCCGCAAAAGCCAACTCAAAAAAAAATCCTATTCTTTCCTCCCATCTCACTTTTTGTTTAAAAAATACAATTCCAGAGAARTCATCTCTCCCATAACAAGCCAAGAGGGTTTGTAGAGCTTCCATGAAAACCTAGTGCCTTAGTCATCAGGTTACAGATTTCTACTGCAGAAGACTCCGTGGGAAGACAGGACAAGGCCACCTAACATTAGATTAGCCAATCCACACGTGTTAATTATTATTATTGTTGCAGACAGAAAGCAAATAAAGTATTTTTCCTAACCAAAGAAGCTCATGGTTTTGCTGTCAAGTTGATACCTTTGACCATCCAAGCGCAAGGTTCCAACAAAGTCATAGAGATGCCGGTTGGGTCCTTCACATTCTATCCTTCCAGACACTTTCATCAATTCCTCTCTTGATTGGAGACTAGCAGTTTGAGACAAACCCTGCAGAAACCAATCCAAAGGAGAAAGTTGGAAAAAAAGAATTGTTAGTAGAAGTTAGGAAAAATTATTTTTTTCCAGCAGGCAAGATACACAAGATTTTACATTTCTTAAGGATGTTTGTTTGCTTTTTCATTGACTCTTCCCCATACCAAGCTCACTACGGTGGAGGCAGATATCACCTGTGTTTGTATAGGACAGGGACAAGCCTCTACACAAGAGTTAGTCACCTACACAATCTCTCAGGAAGGTGGAAAGACAGCTGCATGGGGCACCAAGTTAYACGTGTGCACAGGGAAGCAGGAAGAGGCAAACAGCCCTGGCTTCTCTTTCACAGCTCTGCTGATGTGTTGGTGCCAGTAAATGCAATTACACTCACTTGTGAGCACAGTCTCTCCTAGGTCACTGCAGAACTTGTGCTCTGATGCTACTCAAGATTAATTATCATTCCACCATGCAAATGGATCATAGCATATAGCATCTGAGAGACCACACATGCAACGCTCCATTGCTTTTCACTCACAAACTTGAGCAAGCAAACGAGCCATTTTGAGGTGGTAGAACTTYATTCTCATGTTTCATTTTTTTCGTCAGAGCCAAACTGTAGCACYGGACAACAATACTAGGCTTTTTTTTTAAACTTATTTTTGAATTTTAAACAGATTTTGTTCACTTCTTGATACACCAACAGAAAGTCAACACCCAATCTATTTGGCTGAACTCCAAAGACAGTAAATCAGCAGCAGGTGTAAATCTGCTTCAAAACAATCCAACCCATGGCACTAACCCCCYGTGTCTCAACTAGAGACATCCACAAAGTCCTTTCAAGCACTCAGAGGCAGACCATAGATCAACACTTGTGACAGGAAAGCTACAACTTTGACTACAGGAAAAGGTTGGTTTGCTTTAAATATGSAATTTCAAATATTCTGTGAACACTTTAAGTCATGGGAAGTGCTATGTTTGAATACAACTTCTTTTGGAAGTTCTTAGCCAAACTGATCRAGAAGCATCTCAGCTTTTAAATAAAAATCTAATATTAAGGTAGTTATCTGATAAAAAACATAGTTACTAATGGGAAAAAATTGGCTTATGTTACACCTACAATTTCCATGGCTKGCGGTGTTACCCTCTAATTCAGCATACAAGAATTTCCTTTTTATTTTTCAAAAGAGAAGAAAAGGAAAAATAAATAATAACACTAAAAAAGCAATCATTCTTCTATTCAAGAAATGCTTTTGTGTTGCTGGGACAAAAACGATRTTACAGAGTACACAAATGTACCAATATGGAAAAAAAAAAACCCTCTAGTTTCTAGGACTTTTGTTATAGTTTTGTGGCTTCTGCATTTCCAGCTAGTATGTACACAGGAGCAGCAGGCTGTTAACTCTCAGGTGAAGTATCCACAAGAAAATCCATTCCAAGCTTGTCCAGCTACAAAGCACAGAGCATGCCACCCACGTCTATGAGTGGCTTCCTCTACGCCCCTGCAAGGTCCTGTGCTCAGCTAACAAGGCAGCGGAAACTTCTCTGTGCTTGAAAATTGCAGTTGTCTGTTGGAAGTTACCACTCTAATCAGTAAGCAGAGACTTCACAATGAAGATCTGCTTATTTTGCTTCTGTGGGCTTAAACCCCTCCTTCCAAATCAGCTCCTTAGACTTAAACACAATGTATTTTTGCACTTCCAATTTGTTGCAAGGAGGCTCACAGCAGTTTTATTAAACAGCATCCATATAGTTACCACACCAGCTAAAGTGTCTGCTCTGTAGCTAACTCKGCACACCTAAAGAAACACTAAGATGTTTCATTTTTACTTTTACCTGTCGTATTTTGAGATTCGTCTCCCCATCAAGATTAGCTGTTTCAATATAGCACATCGCTTGAGGTTCACTGCAAGGAGCACAATAAGATTTTCAGTATTGAAAACTTAAGATKKTTTTTTTTTTTTACACTACTTTTGTATTAAATGATCCACRCCATGTATCTTCAATACACTATGCAGAATAAAAAATAAATATGGTGGTGTATGACCATGAAAGAACCAGCTGAAAGTACTCAATTTGAAGATGTATCTTAAAAACAGTCTCTTAAAATGGAGATTATGAAGACAGCCTTACCTAACCAAAAGGTAAATAAGGATTTAATGCTCATGTTTCAACTATAAATGCCAGAAGGAGAATATTTTACATTACAGTCTAGAAAAATACTTCAGTCTGTGTTTATCCCCATGGAGCTACCACAAAGCAACGCAGAAGGGGACGTACTTGGGTGAAGAGGGGTTCATGTGCCCTCCACTGCTGAGTTCTTGGGGAGGGCACAGGAGGTGACAGCCACAGAACCAGGTTCAAGCTGAACCTCTGCACGTCCCTCACCTRAGGTTGCTCCTAAGCAGCTAGTTGGGAGGATCAGAACAGTTTAATGGGTTTGAAAGCGAGGGCTGCTGGCTGCATCTTGCAGAGATACAGACAAACCTTTCCTCCTCGGGGAAGCATCATTCTTCATTAGCTGCATTCTTCATTAGTCTCAACTATATTTAATGTGGCAGAACTCAACGGTGGCAGCCCCTCTGATAAGCAGAGGCACTTCTATCGTGGCTCGTTTCCTGGCATGGAGGTTCYCTGGAGATTTTTAGATGCTCTGCACAGCACCACGGTGGCTGCTTCCCATTGGTTTCTCAGGCTGTTAAGGAACACTGATTTCTCACACGAACCCAAATGTGGCCTTCATTAGCTCATCACTTTTCCTACTCTTGAAATACTGCCATTTGCAGTATAAAATGAATAGTAAACTAACTAATTTGCAGTAAAATAACTTATTAATTTACCAGTAAAAGTAGCTAATCAGCAAAAAAAAGTCAGTATCACAGGACTCCTTAGCAAAACATGAAGGGAGAGGTACGAGYACAAGAGAGGTTATTTTTTCTCTCTAGAGAAATAAGCCATTTTTTTCTTCCTCACTCCAAGAAGAAAGAGGCAGGGTCTGAACTTGTCTCCTCCCACATGGGCAATCTGAAATCTCCTCCAAGGAGGCCAGGAATTAAGTTCAACCTGATACCAATTTTATTTTTATTACAAACTTCCTATCCAATACAATTGAGATATAGTTAATTCATTAGGGAGAACTGTTATAATGCAGTTTCCCACTTTCCCCACATTTCTGCAGAAATGTTTCATGTCAAATGAAAGTTGTGTTTAAAAAATCATAGTTTTTACTATTATTTAGGCAAATGTACTCTGTACATAAAATTCATTTAGTATCACCTTTCTTCTATAGGAGTGGAAAAAAAAAATCAAGATTAAAAAAAAACTTTCAACTCTGGCACCTAACCCAGACACAGAAAATTTATATATATAAATATATATAAAAGCAAAAAGCCACCCTTCCAGAGCATGCAAAGCTTTCTGGTGAACTGAGGACACTTAGTATTGCCATTCAAAAGTATCACACGAATAACATCAATTGTAAATGTGGAACTACCACAGAATTGCTATTTAAGTCAAGCTTTTCCCAGATCAGTACTTTGGGCTAAATACTTCATTTATTCTATATGGGTATGACAGATATCAATGGATTAGTACAGTAAAATGGAAGAAGTGACCCATGCAAGTTAAGAAATGAAACAGATGTTTTTAGTGTAAAATATTAAAGGAAGAAATATTCCTCAGTGTTGGAACAGGAAGTTATTGATGTCAAAGTAGGTTCACTAATTGCACTTCAGGTTGACAGCTGCTCATTTAATAATTTGGGTTTTGTTCTGTGTTTTAAACATGCAATATTGTGCACCATGGGAATGTAACTAGCCCTATCCTGGAYCGTGTGACATAAATCAGACAGAGCTTTCCCACAGAGCCTTCAGCAGGACCAGCCCCATCACCACGGCGTGTGCCAGAGAGTCACACATCCAAAGAACACAASGGGCAAAAGCAGGAAAGGGCAAAAGCAGTAGCTTGGAAAACAAGTTTCCTCGGGAGTTGGGTCATCTGGGAGCACCTGAGCGCTCAGAGCAGCACAGCAGTGGCTGCAGGTTATGTGTGTGTTGGGGGGAACCACTACGGAAAAGACCCCGGTTTCACGTGGTGTGTCTCTACTTCAGAAAGACAGAGTCACAAGCAGGAGCCCCACCACTGTCTCTTGGGCACAGCTCTGCTCCCTACGTGGACACTGGTGTTGCCTTCACACCCAAGATTAGCAGCTGCTGCCCAGTGCTAAGCTGATCCATCAGCTTCACAGAGCAGGAGCTCTCTAGGGCTCCCAAAGGGCTTCCAGGACCCAACAGCTAGCCTGCATTTTGAAGCATATCTTTATTTCAAAAAAGTCCCATATTTCACAAGGAAATGTGAGAAGCAGCTAAGAGTTTGCTTTTCTATGGCTGTAGGGACTACTGTGCAACACATGTGGCCCAAGGAGCAAATGAATGAAATCCAAGTGCTATTTGGCAGTGTAGTTATTTAGATTCCGGCTGGGCTAAGCTCCTCAAATTACTATTTTGAGGTAACTTTGAAAACCAGGGGCAAAAAACCATACWGGTAATTTAGTGGAATTAACTGGAATAAAACTGAAGGGCAACTTTTCTTGATTTTATGTTCCTTGGAAGGATCAGCTTCACCAAGATTGTAAACCAGACCTTCCTCTCTTCCTCACTTTAATACTTCCTTGCAGCACATTATGCTTTCTTGAAATTATCCATCTTAAGACCTTAGCTACAAAAATAAGCCAATGACAAATGCATCATTGACTAGCAAAACCCTATTTTGCCTTCACTGAAGCTTGATTTCATATGTGGAAAAGAAAAAAAAGTGCCATCTGATATCTGTTTTYATTAATAGCAGCTACAGAGTTTAGAGTCCTCTGCACCTCAGTTCATCAGACACGTCATTTCACACCCACTCCGGATACCTGGAAGATACAATGATCATGTCTGCTGGAAGATGCTGCCCATTGGTGACCTTCACAATATCGCCTACTGCCACCTATTGAATCAGGGGCAGGAGCACAGCAGCATGAAAGAGAAAAAACAAACAGTTCGCTTGGCTGGAAGGTTTAGTTTGTTATTTTCCTTCAAAATTTCAGTTAAAAGAACAGCATCATGCACACAACACTTAGACACGGTGCTTCTGAAAATCAGGGTGCTTTCTATAGCAAGCATGGAAGTCYAGTGTCAAATGTTTCCTGCTCCTAATATGAAATAAGGTATTCTGCAGAGACAAAAAGTTATATGCTCCATCAGAAAGTGTCAACTTCCCCAGATTATGTTTAAAGTTTTTTTTTTTTCCCTCTTCTGTATTCCTGCTTTTATCCAAATTAGAGTTTATTTTTCTTTAAGTACAGTATTATCTCACTTATGGCAAGATTTTTCTCTGGAAATAAGTTTTTAATCTTTAAACTTATTAATATTCCTCAAAGTCAAGAGTTTCTCCTCTTCCTGATTTCTCATCTTTCCGTCTGTCCTTGTGGGTTATTTACCTACCCTGTCATCAGCATCTCCTGCAGCTTCCTACTTGTATTTACAGCTGACACGATGGATTGTCTCTTCAGACAAAACCAACTAGTTCCTCCTCAAGTTATCTGAAGTGTAAAAAGTCCCCATTTCTGGAATACTGTAAACAAGGGAGATTCCATCACCCTTAGCAGCAGTCAAGTTCTTCATCCTTTTTGGGATGTGAATCCCATTCAGCTCCCTCAAGGCAGCAGATCAGTACCATAGTGATGAGTATCAGGCTGCTGACTATCCAGTGGATTGCTTATAACCTCGAATGACCTCAAAATATTTAACCTATAAGAATGTCTATTATTATTATTATATATTATTATATATTATTATATATTATTATATATTATTATTATTAAATGGTATATTTGAACAGGCAGATTTATTAGTTAAGAATCTTATTCTGATATCACAGAAAATTTCTGCTGTAATTTTACCAGGAAAAATATTGGGAATCTACCTTAAATGAAATGAGTTAGGGCATAACTGTTCYGTGGCACCAACAGTGAACGGAAGGATGGACAACATGCAGAGGCAGCCACAGGTTAATCAAAGAAGTGGTTAGGAAAGCAAAGGCYAAAGCTAAGGGCTAAGGCTACGGAAAAGCAGGTTCCAGGTTCAGCTTCTGGTGCCGCCTTAGAGCTCCGTGTACAGAGCACAAGGAGCTCTGCCAGCAGACATGAGCGTGAGGCTCCAGAGTCCTTGGCAATCTCCAGCTTTTAGTACAGCCCAGCACTCCCGCCAAGCTGCATCCAAGCCCCCTGAGGTGGGCATCGTTTCCAGGAAGGTTTAGAATCACAGGCTGGTTGAGGTGGGAAGGGACCTCTAGAGATCACCCAGTCCAACCCCCCTGCTCCAGCAGGGACACCCAGAGCACGGGGCACAGGGTGGCAGCCAGGCGGSTTKGGAAGATCTCCAGAGAAGGAGACTCCACAGCCTCCCTGGGCAGCCTCTTCCAGGGCTCTGTCACCCTCACTGTTTAGAAGCTTTCCATGTGCTCAACCACCACAGCCCAGAGAGCTCATGCGTCCTGCCCAAGGAAGGAGCTCAGAGAGCCACACTTCGCTCTGTGCATCCTGAAGGACTTCGGTGAGTTCTAAAAATAAGTATTAAAGGCTTCTTACACAGGGCTTCASAGGGCTTGGGTTCCACGTGCCTATGGTAGGAGTAGGCTGCTTGCTCAAATAAGGCACAGGTCCTGCTCACTGGCCCCAGGACATGAGGGGTTGTTTTTAAAGCTCTACCATCACAATGAATCTCTTTGCTTTTCAGGAGATTAGAGTTGATGCATCATGGTTACACATTGCAACGAAAGCTTGTTTTCAGTCCACTTCTGGAACACTAACACCACTGTTTGTGCCCTGCAGCACAATAACTGTCCGAGCAAATACTGTTCACAACAATTCGTTAGCATTTGACTGAAGCACAGTAGTAGGATTTAAAGGTGGGTGCTCAGCTGTTCCAGGCAATTCCCACTGTTATTAGGGAAAGGATCCCCTGYGCTCCAATCACAAAAAAATCTCATGTAACACAAATTCATTCTGCTTCTCTTAATTTATTCCAGCAAGACAAATTCACAAAAAAAAAGGTTTTATTTACCTCTTTCCAAATAATGTTCTGCCACATCCCATTTCTTAGAACTAGAAAGAAAAATTAAAATCAGATCAAAATAACTTCTGAACAGGCATAAATAAGCAACAGGGGATGTTAACTGGAGTGGGAACACACGTATCAGAAAAAATACRTTTCAGAAGTTGGGAGAACAGACTGTCCATGACTGTAGACATGTGCATCCAAGAAAGGAGGGATCTACTCTTAATATTTACATGCAGTCACTATCATTGTCTTCCCAAGATTAATTAGTGGCCTGACTTCTTTCTGGCCTCATTTCACACTAACACACAGAAAGTCAGCACCACTGCCCACCTGAGCACTGAACTTCCTTAAAACAAAGGGAATTATTGTCAATCTGCTCCAGGACACATACTCATCATATGAAATGGTTTATCACGGAGTTTTTAGTTCTCACCCTGTTCCCACTTTTGACTTACTTTGAGGAAATAACTGAAGCAAAAGGCCTTAACTGAGTGACCCATCCAACCCCACTCCCACCCCAAGCTCCAGCCCTATATAGGGAGCTGAGTGTCAAGCATGCTCTAAACCCTACTGRAAAGGAGACATTGTCTTTGGTGAAAGCCCTAAATGCTGAAGTCAGAACAAAAAATGGATGCCAAGATCAGCACACAGGTTTATTGCTCTCGTTCCTTCCTTCTTCCAAGGTGTGTTTGACCTGTGCTTTGCTCAGTTCAGAATTCAGGAGAGAACCTGAGCCCAGGATCTTGAGCAACAGATATGGACCCACAGGTCTTTATCCAGGAACCTAAACCCTCTGAGACAGACCACAGTGTTTGGCATCCCCTGCTCCTAGTTTTAAGCAGCTCCCACCCACAGATGGATCATGTGGCTGCCGGCCAGCACACAGAGAGCAAGTTCAGCACCCATGAGCCTGGCCTTTGTGTACAGTCATTTGCTTTCTTGTTCCAGGAGAAGAGTTCACCTTTCAAGCTACTGAATCCAATTAACCATTAATCAGTCAAGCAGCTAAGGTTGTCTATCCTTGCTTACTGTGATAAGATGCCTTTAAGATGTTTATTAACACATGTTCTGTCTAACTACAAATGAATTAAGACAGAATTGCCTATCTGACCTTTGAAAGAACAGCCTTTCGTATGACCTATAATTAGGCCTGTTGTGCTACAGCCAGGAAACTGCAGATTTCTCAGGGCTAATAAATGTGGTGCACTCATAGCTGCCTCCCAGCAGACCATGGAAGAGAAATCACCTCCAAGAGCAGGTAAAGTAGTGCTGTCTTTGAGAGCCATTAATGTAGAGTCTCAACTATAAACTTCTCAGGCATGAAGGAAAAAAGATACCTCCCTGAAAGCAATCCTTTGTACATTTTTTCCTTCATAGCTCAACTACAAGGCTAGTGGATTGTTGGGTTTCCTCCACCTCTTTAAATAATTCTCTGTTTTTTTCACACTTGAGCTAAATTTGGGAGGAAAGGAAGCTCCTCAAAGCTCACTTTCTTATGTTTTCATCTTCAACAGTAAATTGCAGTGAGTGATGTCCAGAAATTGCCYGAGGAGCAGCAAAGGAGCTGTCCAACAGGGATCACTGCAGTCCTATGTTCTCACGCTAAGTCCAGCTGCCACRAAGCGATCGGCCTCAGCACAAAGCCAACTCTTCAGATTTCCTGCACAGTTTCTCAATTAAGGCACTTAAAAATCCAAGTGGTCTTTTCCAGTATTCCATGTCCAGCAGTTTCCACGAAGTTGAGGAAAAACAGAAGTTTAGAGGGAGAACAGGCATGTAGAGGAAAGCTCTTCCCTTTCCTGACATTTGCAGCAAGCGAGCCCAGAGAATTTCCTGAGTTCTTCCTGCATTTTAAGGGTGGTGACATTTAGGAAGAATGTTTCTTTTTCAAATCCTTTAAATTTTTTAGCTTTCAAAGATAAATATATACATATATATTTTAAAGTTTCAAGGAATATAAAATATCAAGATAAAGGGTCTGGGCGGGSCATAAAGGGGAATAATTTGGTTTTCTTATAGGGAAAATTATATACATTTTCAAACTCTTTTTTTAAAGCAAATTGACAAGCATCACACCATTTCCTTTACCAAGTGTTTTCAACTAATGCAGACTAAGTCCTAACCAAACAGTAACTCGCTCACAAGACAGGCATTCACCACCATCATGGCAGTTTAAGCAACAGAGCTGTTTAAAAATAAGTGTTCTGACATTCACTAGTTGCACTCCAAATACTTGTTAACTTTCAAGCTGCTTAGTCTTACCTACTGTTTTCTTTTTATTTACTGCACTGTCTGCCTTATGCCGTTTCTGCAAGAAAATAAAACAAGCCATTACACTAGGATTCCAAAGCCATTAACCCCATAGCTGGAAATACGACAAACTGCAAGATGATGCATGAAGTCATTTTTGCCTTTATGTTAGACTGCAAAAAGCAAACCCACACATAAACTATATAAATCCAGAGATTTATAAAAGGAAGAAAAAAAGGAAATTTTAAAATGAGAATCCCTATGTTAGAAATAAAACTCAGACTTGGATCAACAGCAAAAAAACTCAGTCTCCAAAACCAAAACAAGGAACTGTGAGTGCTGGTTTAGCTAGACAAGGGATGGACATCACTCAAACAAAAAGCATGCAGAACGTGCAAGTCAAAGGTAACTTATTCATCAGGACTTGGCACAGCAAAAAGATCTGTTTATAACAAACAGTATCTAAAATGCTTAATATAGGTTTTCTGCACAGAGCTATAGAACCTCCTGTTGAGTCAGCAGCTTTGAGGGTCAACAGGGCACTTTGTGATTGACCAGCAATGACTCGATGCCCACTGAGATTCACAGCTTTGTGCAGCTCCATTATTGTTAGCCCCTTTTTTTTGTCTTTAACACCACCTCCCCCAATACTCCATACTCACATAGTCTTCTATAATTTCTTTGATGCCAGCAATAGTTAAAATAAATAGCAATGGCACCAAGGTGGTATATCTTCCTGTCGGAGAGACATCAGGAATTTGCTGTGAACAGAAAAAACAAATCCATTACATGCTTGTATTTAAAGTAAGYTCCCAGCAAACTTAGAATTTTATGAAAAGCTCTGACAAGAGAGAGGGCAGAGCTTGAATTCCAGTTTGTGCTCCATAGGCTAACACAGACATACACACAAATCAGAGACGTTAGAGATCTGGGCAGATTTGAAGAAACTGCCATTGTAAAGTAAGAAAATGAAGTTGTTTTACAAGCTTTTTATTCTTCATTTCTCCTCTCTCCCCAGGCAAAGCATTCCAATGAGGTAAATSACAGATTCCACTACACTAACACCATTTACACTAACAACCAACAGCTTCACAAGAATCTACCCTATTTTTCAGCATGGTCAACAGCTTCACATTTTACAGTATTATTTGTTATTTGTTTTTACTTATTAGGAAAAATAAACAGTTTGAATTTAGGAAAGATATTTTATAACTTCCATTTACCTTTTAAATACAATGTTAATGTGCCTATCTTTCAACAGCACATACCTCATTAATATCAGCATTTAATTTGTGCTTAAGTACATTTACTTCTGTGCAGTTAGACACTGAGATTCCACGAACTTCCTCACACTTACATTACAGTTTTGCATTTTACAATGAAGGACTATACCTGCAGTAAGGCAACGAAGAGGAAGAATGCATTTGCAGCTTTTCTTATCTGCTCATACAGGAATCGAGGTAGGAACGTCACCACGCTGTACTTGGCTGTGCTGCAGGTTACAAGAGGCAGGGGTTTATTTTAAGTAGGAACTAGGCGGGAACTATGGCAGAAAACTTTGAATTAGACTTTGAAAGCCAGCACTATAAACAGTTCAAGGCCCATACAGTAATGTGTAGAATATGGAAGAAACAACAACTCATTTGTTTTACAAGGAAGAGCTGTGCAGGACAGAAGAGGCATCACCCAGTGGACCTACAGGCTGATGGCTCTGCCCTTGCTGCAGGTTACAAGAGGCAGGTAAGTACCAGATGACCAAACTCCTGATCAGCCCAAACTCCAGCTCCACGGGCATGTAGGTCTGCAGCTCAAGCACTTCAAAGTCTCTGTACAAATGCTCATCCCTCATCACAGCCTGAAACTTGAGGRTGCTGGGCTGGGCTCACCAAACACAAAAGGGTCCTTTTTAAAAAGCCCCTTCTCCCAGTTTGGAAGCATCATCAGTTATGAATACCGGACGATAACAAATTTTCAGAATAACCTTTTCTGGCTGTTTCTCATATGCACATATTTCAACCACCTTAACACAAAAAAAACCCTGCAATAACTGGTCTCAGCAAGCTACATCCGATTTATGTCATACCAAATCCAGCAACAGTCATGTGATAAATCTGGGTAGAACTTCAGAATAAGGTACCAACATGACAAGAATATTTACCTATTCACTTTTAAGGTAGAGCCATGACTACATGGGAATGGCTTATACATTACCAAAAACAACCTAAAATAGATTAAAACTATCTATTAGGGTGCCAGTCCTCATTCTCCAAGCCCATTACTTACATCCCAGTGATCGACATGACTTTCTGCAGCACCATCAACCTTCCAGTGCTCTCCAAACAGCATGGGCGATCAAGCCCATCCACAGCTTGTAGTGTCCCATTATATGCGATTATTTGACAGAATAAAACTAAAACTATTCTAAGCCAACAAAGGGGGCATGGCAGTCCCCCTGGACCAGACAAAGAAGGTGTTTTGAAGGGCATTATTGCAGTAAAGAAATTAGAAGCTCTTTTTTCCTAAAGCAACACAGCAAAACGCTGTCACACGGGCAAGGTGCTCTCGTATCCACGTTTGGAAAGTTGCTCTTGGCACTCTGCGGATTAGGGCTGACCCCCTTTGGAAAGCTTTTCCTGTTCTCTCCCACCAGTAAGTGTCTCAGAACAATTTAAATCCATGGGGTTTAGAGGCTGACCCTGATACCAGTTCAGACCTGCCGCAGGAGCGCAGTCACAGAATCACAGAATCACAGATTCACAGATTCACAGATTCACAGAATATTTAAGGTTGGAAGGGACCTCTAGAGATCATCTAGTCCAACCTTCCTGCTCAAGCAGGCACACCTACAGCATGTGGCACAGGGYGGCAKCCAGGCGGGTTTTGAAGACCTCCAGAGTAGGAGACTCCACAACCTCCCTGGGCAGCCTGTTCCACTGCTSTGKCACCCTMACAGTAAAGAARTTSCTCCTCACCTGGAGACGGAACTTCTTATGCTTCAGTTTGTGGCCATTACCCCTCGTCCTATCACTGGCCACCAGTGAAAACAGCCTGTCCCCTTCCTCCCTGCATTCTCCCTTCCTGAACTTATACATATTAATCAKATCCCCTCTGAGCCGTCTCTTCTCCAGAGAAAACAGGCCCAGCTCACTCAGCCTCTCTTCATACGAGAGATGTTCCATTCCCTTAATCATCCTGGTTGCCCTTCTCTGGACCCTCTCCAGAAGCTCCACGTCCTTCCTATACTGGGGTGCCCAGAACTGAACACAGTACTCCACAGTCCCCAGGCAGCACTAACCAACACCACCTAACCAGAAACCCAGAGYTGGCAGATTTCAGGGTTCCCTCAGATTCCACATCCCAAACACATAGAATGTTTTACAGAAYGCTGAGCTACAGAAGAAACAGAATAACAATCATAAAAAAAAAAAGCTGTGCTCACATCGTGCATCAAAAGCAGACACCCACGGAGTTTGCTAGGATTCTATTAGGGGAAAAATTGATCTCCGACTGCAACCAGGCTGAAACAACTTATTAACAGGGTGCCAGTATTTACCAACTTCCAAACATGCCCGGCTCCAAACAATATCCCGGCTCCGACGGCTGTGCTAATGCCGACACAATAAGGCTTTCTGTTGAACGAGCTTTCCACAGGCTAAGTCCCTCCAGTCACGCAGCTTGTTACCTAAGTAACACGACAGATGCTCACAGAAAAATAGGTCTGGCTCTGCTTAGACCGCGGCGCATTCAGCTGTTGCCATGCGGACCAGGAACGGGAAGCACGTGGCCCTACAAAAAGCAGGTGTGTGGTATTGTTTAAAAAGAAAGCTCCTTATGAACACAAGGAGGCTCCTGCCCAGCTTGGGTTGGAGCAGGTCSCCAAAGGGCCATAAGGGCAGCCAGGAGAGCCAGGGGCGATCTCCAGCACGAGTCCAGCCACGGAGCCTCCTCAACCTGCACGTGAAGCTGCAGAGGCCCCAGAAAGCCCCTCTGCAGCCYGGCTCTGGCCACGGCCTGGGGCCAGGAGCACCCTGGAGCTCAGCCCTCCACACGCCAGCAGGGAATCCATCTCCTCCACACGTGCAGCTCAGTTCAGATCAAAGTTGTGTTTCAACTTGCATCCCTGTATAAACCAGAGGGATCTCCAAGCCACATGAAATCAGTTTGGACACAGATCAATACAGATGAAAGCAGGATCTGGGTCCACTTCTACAACAGCACTCAGAGATTTTCTAAAAGCAAACTGTGTAACTGGAAAATATTAATGTCATTCACCTATCTTYGCTCATTACCATGCTACTACCAATGATTAATCATTTTGATAGGATTCATATAAACACTGCCAAAAACTACAAGCCAAGAAATTCAAAGGGTAGTTTGGCAGCACAGTTCCCCATTTGTTGGGGAATTGTTGGGAAACTTGGAGTTTCATATGGCAATTCCCATAGCTGTCCTTCCTCCCCAATTCCCCTCCCCTACCTTCCCAAAGTACTCCCCAAACGGAAGTTTTCCACTATCTAACGATACCTGTAAGAGCAAGAAGAGCTTCTGGTAACAGAGGCAAAAGGGTGGCTGCCTCGAGCGGGGTTTGTGCAGCAGCTCAGTGCAGCTCTGCACTTTCTCAGTCAGACATTCAGCACCTCCAGTCTTCCCCCAGAGTTATGTTAAATTGTTTGACAGCTCCTCAAATGGCAAAAGACACAAGCTGAACCTCTGGATTTGTCATACTGACAAGAGCAGGACCTCCTGGAGACAGAGCAGGACCTCCTGGAGACACCATCATTCTGCTCCGGAGATAAGTATGACAGATGGCCCTTTCCTTTCCAGATTTCACCTGCAGTCGTCCACCCCACACTTCACATACACAAGTTACTCTACAACACGAGAGCTGGGAGCATTATTTGGTTTCAGTGCTCTTCCCATACGTCCATAGCAGGCAGCCAATTCACACCCACGTGGCTTAGGCTGTGGAGCCCTTGAGTTACAGCTTGTGGTTACAGAAGCAAGAGGAAGAGGCTGCAGGGACAGATCTGACGGGCTGACTCCATAGGCCACATGTAGCTTCCAAAGCAACACTTCCACAGCCTATCATTATCTCTAGCTAAAACATAAARAACAATTCAAGGGCAGGTGAAAAGCTGCAGTTGCAAAGGAGGTACTGCCTACATGGAAAGTTCAGGAATTGATCTTTGAAAGGACTACAAGCTTTGGAAAAATAAACATCTGCTGGTTTTAGGGTCTACAATTTACAGAAACATCTTCAGCAGGCCGGGCGCRGAAGTGTGGGTCGCCCTCGGGCTATTAGCATGAACACTGAGCCCAGCACTCCAAGTTTTTGCTCACCAAACAGGCTCTGTGGTCATCAACACATACAAAAGGTCACATTTGCTGCTCAGGGGAGAAAAATCAAGAAGATTTGCTTGAGCTAAGGGGTCAAACACTTTGTCTTCAGTGGATCTGCGCACACGCTGAGGTCCTTCAGGCACCCAGCTTTTCTTTTAGGGACGAGGCTGACATGAGCCTCAAAGGAGCGTTAGCTCCATGTCCATGTGTCCATGTCCGTGACACACGTGTCCATGTGTCAACACAGGCACCTCGCAGACAGCTACTGCTTCTGAGCCACCACAGCAGGCAGCTGCTTAAACCTGTAGGGAAAGGCAAGCTCCACTCCAACACCTACTGAGAAGCCCAGCTCTGTCCAACAGATCCTTCAGACTAACCCTGCAGCAAGGGTTGTGCTCTGCTGTGTCGTGGTCTGTACACTGATCTGACTAAAAAAAGGGCACGTGGTGTTTAAATACTCTAGACAACCTGAGAGACATTGAGCTGAGGTCAAAACAGAGTGCAAAGGGAGCTCCAGAGTGCAAGATTTCAACCCTTCACAGATGACATTGGTTCRTTATTCATCGCATTTCATGCCTAAAGCTGAAGCACCCGACCCAAGCAAGGCAAGGAACCAAGAGCCATCCCATGTGTCCCAAAGCTGGAGCAACCACTGTCCAGAGTGATTTTCCAGAGTGAACCAACTGACTGGATTGTTTTGCTGCTTATTCCTGCCTCCCCCTACACTTTTCATAGGTATGGTGACATCTGGCACATATAGGAAATGTACACATGGTTTAAAAGATAAAAGGGACTCACAGCTGAGTKGAGAAGACGTTCTGCTGCACTGCTCTAACAGGGATAAACCCCTCACCCTACATCACCAGCATGGACAATGGAAGGGGTTAGCAGCATGGAGATGTATCAGGATTAAGCCACTTGAACCTTGGCAGTGCTCAGAAAACACTTTCAGTGGCTCCAAACCGCAGTGCCCGGTGCACAGTGAATCCTCGTGAACCCTCGTCCCGGCGGGCCAGGAGCCACCTCAAGGACCTCAGCGCTCCCCAGCTCTCCCTCAGTGCACAGACTCCTGTGTCTCCGAGATGGGCTCCCACTGGAAGTTACTACAGGCACCACTGTGTGTTCTGGAGGRGTCGTTCGTGCTCTTACTTT